GTTCTCAAAATGGAACTACTTCGTTTTTTCCATCTGAGATCAGTTGATTATGTGCTTGTCTCTATAAAAACACCTTTATATTTTCCATGTAGCATATTTTTCAGTATGCTTAAATCTGTTTTCATTTACCCTGGGGAAGAAAGGCAACTTGTAGTCTCTTCTTGAATCTTGGACACTGCACAATGCTTTATGTTAATATACCATGTGTGAAGGAAAAAGCCCTCTTTAATTTTTCCAGCTTTTGACTGTTTCTCAAAGATAAATTGCAGTGTCTCTGAGGACACTTGCACACACTATATTCTTGTTTCCACTGTGAAGCCTTAGATTTTCTTCATTTTCTTCAAGAGGTAGGAGACAGGCTGCAGGTAGATGACACATTTTTAAGAGTTCATTGTTGAATAGAAAAGTCCCCATGCAAAAGAAAAATGTGTCACGGGTAGGTTGCGCCATTTAACTCTTTGTTTTTGTATGTAACCTTAGCTTTTTTTCAGAGCAAATAGAGAAATGAATATATATAAATCCATGTAGCGGGCTGTTTTGTCATTCTTTGCCTACCTCTTATATGTATACGTCTTATGTGTATACAGTCCTACCTGTTTAAGCATGCCATTAGAAACTCAATTTTTTCAGGATGCGTGATCATGCAAGAGATGCTCATCTATAATGTAAACCGGGTTACCAAAGTCTTCAGCTTATTCAGCTCTTCATGAAATTTCATTCACCCCCAAACACTTATTATATGAAAATAATTTAATAAATACTACTTTCATAATACTAAAAATAATAATAGTAACAATAATCATCAACCTTGGGAGTTGATACTCACTTTTTTGAGACTGTTGAAAATGAATTCTATGGGCTAAGGCTAAGGAAATCAAGGTATGAGTGGTAGAAAGCCTGATACTGAGTTCAGACATTGCTTTAAGTTGTAATACGGTTTCCTTGACTAATATCTAGTCCCCTGGTGGCAAACCTATGGCATGCGTGCCATAGCTGGCACGCAGAGCCCTCTCTGTGGGCACGTACGCCGTCGCCCCAGTCCTAGGCCTTCAGCTGGGTTTTATAAAACCTTTTCACACAAAAAAAGGTTTAATCAATCAATCAATTTCAACTTCTTATGGGGAAAAAGAACCATCTTGCAAAGTTGGAATTGATTGATTGAACTTTTTAGTCCCACCCAGTCTGCCGTTACCACTGCAGCCATGCCCACGCAAAGGGCCACACCCACCCAGCACCCAATGATACATAAGTGGATTTGGGGTTGCAGTTTGGGTACTCATTTCTAAAAAGTTCACCATCACTGAATAAATAAAAAATGTGGTTCATTTAATAGTTCAAAATTAAACCATTCCATGACTTGGAATTAACCTATAGATTTAACTCCACATGTTCATTTCCCTCTTAGCAATTGTAAATAATGTGAGGTTTATGTTTCCAGTCTTCATCTTTTCCAAGTCTTTCAACCATTGATAACATGCCCCCTAATTTGTATTTTTATTAATGGCAATAGAAAATTCCTTGTATAGGATTCAATTGTTATAGCATTTGGGTACATTCACAAAGCCATTTGTTCTGCAATAGCTACACTGAGAAATGTCCTAAAGACAGAAAATGATTCATGCTTTAATTTTTCATAGCTTTTGACTTAAGTTTAAGATGCAAAAGCAGGTCAGATAGGGAACAAGAGGGAGGAAAGGAAAATGGACTAATAGAAGAGATGGAGAGAAGCTAAGAGCATCTACTTCTCAACAATATTATCCATTCCTCTGAGTTATATTACAATATGGGTGACTATATAAATCTTTTTAAATAAATAATATTATATGCTATTATAAAAAATAACACTAAGACACACACTCTCTCTCTCTCTCTCCTCCCTCCCTTCTTCCTTCTTTCTCTCTTGTCTCTCTGTCTCTTTCCCCACCCCAAATGTAAACAGCTATCTCTAGTCTCCCTTTTTAAATAGTTTTAAAGCTGAACCATTCAGTTTCTTTTTTTTCTAAGATCATAAAATGTCAAGCTAGGCAATGAGGATGAAATAGGACTAAAGCTTCTGGTCTGATCTTGGGTTCAGAACTTGGATTCCAAGTTCTGACAGATTTTGAAATAATATCATGGGAGAAGACAAATATTACTAGGCACTAATGATGTTGTCAGTCTCCAAACAGTACTTTTATTTGCAACAAAACTACAGAGAAAGGAAGAATTATTTACAATTTAGATGCTGGGAAATGATGGTTCTTCCTGGAAAAGGGATGCTAATACGCAAATGGTCATCTGTTTATTTAAAATTACTAGGATAGTACTCGTATACTCAAGTGGAAGAAGTCCTTTAATTTGAACTGCTCAGAATTGAAAAATTGTTTCTCTGCTGGATGGCATCAGTGCTACAGCTGAGCATAGTTAACACCTGGGTCTCAATTTTTTCCCCCAATATAAGCCTGCAGTCAGTATTGAGTGACTTAGTCTGACATATTTTAGATCTCCCAGAATGGCCAAAAACAAAATAACTTGAAGACATTATAGGAAATTAAACTGGAGACTTAGATCTAGCTGATGAAAATATTGCAGCAGATAAACCAACTGAGGTACATTGATGCAAGAGAACCTCACTGTATTACTTGGAACCCCCATGACAAAACTGAAGCCTTAGGACTTTTCCCAGTATTTTCTTACCATAATCTTCCTCCAATTTTGGCTGTAAATTCTGCAAGATGCAGTCCCAGCACATCTGGAAAGGACCAAGCTGGGAAATTCTGGCTTTGTTATTTAGAAAATATATTTTGCTGAGACAACATGAACTGAAACTTTTCTAAGCAAAATAATTGATCCAGGAAATGTTAAACATTTGTTTCTTTTATTCTTACATGCTCTTTCTTTTGGCAAGAGTTGTCTAAGATTTATTGTTTAGCATTGCTATTGTGAGCCCTAAAGTACACATCATCAACAGAGTTGTTTAAAGAACAACTTTGGGAGAAATGTCTGTTTAGGATTTTTTTTCCCTCACTAAGTTCAAATAGTCTTAGTGTTATATTTGATAATAAAGTGCTTATTAGGTATATCATCTTATTTCTCCTGAACCCAAAATGTTCTTAAGAAAGAGGGGGGGAACAGAACTCCTTAAACTAATTGCCAATTTCCAATCTGCTTATCTAAACCTCACTGGTCAGAACAATGGCATTTAACTCAGAATGTTGAATTCTCCAGCATCCTGCTTGTAAGTTGCTATGTTGTCAATCAGACATTGGAATGTTTGTGCACGGACAATGGAGCCAACATTTCTCTGCTTAGAACTTTTTTGAAATATTTACAGTCTCCTGGGGCAATTATCTGCCTGAAGAGTGAGATACATGACACTATTTATAAAGCTTCAAGTTGGAATAAAGGAAAGTAGAAGAGGGAGAAAGAAATTTCATCTATCTATCTATCTATCTATCTATCTATCTATCTATCTATCTATCTATCGTTATGTCTTTTTTTGTATTTTGCAATGAGTGATGGGGCCATTTTACTTTCATCCACCCCCTCTCTTCTCTGCTCTGCTATGCTTCCATTTAATTAGTTCTGCTGATTTATCTCTTGCTGGTTAATGTTGCATGTCTAAATATGAAGTCTCAGGTGTGGGAGTACCAATGGCCTAATGAATTGCATCTCATTCTCATTAAATCTAGTGTTGCATCCTTTTCAAATAACTTTCCCATGGAACCAATCTTTACTAACTTTGTTGACCAAGGAGTCTTCAGTTGTTTATAAATAGACAATTAACCGGGAATTAAGTTAGCCCCATTGCAAGTTTAGTTCTGTTGATGATACGTCTGTCAACAGGTCAGAGAATGCTAGTAACTAAACTTTTTAGTTAAAAGGCCAATCAATCATTTTCTGTTGTGGGTTTAGGTCTCCTGCAGCACAGAGACCCCTCCTGAGGGGAAGTTAGGGCTCACAATAGCAATGCTATTTGACTGACATTTCCTGAGAAATGGTTCTGATAAGCTCAGTCAGCCGAATCTGGAAACGGGAGAATTGGGGACAAGGCTTTTCTCAGAGTTGCTATGCATAATAGATGATGCACTAAATCCCACTGCTGACCAAAGAGGGATAGTAATACAGGCTTTCATAGCATAAGTAGGATCATCTGAACTGTCATTTAGTACAAACTGTTTACACTGAAAAATAAAACCGGAAACATATCGAACAATGTTATGCTGTAGATCATGACCAGTAGCCAAGCCATCCTCCTCCATATGGAAATGCAGGTGAGTTTACGTACAATAGGACACTTGCTTTATGGGTACCCTGGGACTCAAAGGAACACTTATTCTTTTGGAAGGTTTTCAGAAATGTAATCAAATTCAGGAGAGTTATTTAAACACTTATTTTGCTAATTAAGAAAGTCTAATCTTCCCAATGAGAATGTGTGCTCATTATACAGTATAAAAGTCCAGCATGCTAAATGAGAAACTTATTTTTAACAGAAAACTAAGATTATAAATTTAGAACTCATCCTTACAGGCATTTTTAAAAATACTTAGACTGCTATCAAGTAATACCTTAGGAAAATAAGGTATATTTAATGATATTAAATATATTAGGGAATTAGCTTTATTTTTTTTAAAAAAAAATCTTCCTCCCATACACAAAACTTGTTCATGCAGACAGACAAAATTCAAATCAGCCAAAGTATGGACATTTGGCAAAAGGAAAACATATTGCTGTTGAAGGATATTAGCCTCAATTTTGAATACCAATTTGAAGCTTCAAGAGCAACTTTTGACACTATCACTCCATCCATTCATCTTTTTCTTTAATCAATCATAAGTCTCAATGCCTAGGGTTTCCTCCCAAATAAATTATCCTAGGCTTGGAAGTTCAACAACGTAACATCTTGACTAGCTGGTACTTTATCTTCATGTGTATCTTACAGATTTCTGACTACTTTGTCTAATAGTTATGTTTTCTGTTGAATTGATTTCTCTCTTTCCCGTCCCCTTTTTATTGCACAGAACCTGAAAACTAAAGAAAAACAACATTTGTACAAGAGTTTAACTGTGCCTTGGACTGATAACAATGAATCATTATTACATTGCTTTTATGTGCACTGTACTTGGCACTGAAGTACTAAAGAGCTTCGGTACCCCTGTCAAGTCTCCAAGATTCAGAGGTCGGGTGCAGCATGAACGAAAAAATATTAGGCCAAATATTATACTTGTGCTTACAGATGACCAAGATGTGGAGCTTGGTAAGTCTGTTTTGAATTGCATCATCTTTTTACCACCATCACAATTTCCTTTGACTTGCTTTTATTCTTTTGAAAACCACTTTCTGCCCTGTAAATAATCCTTCTATATAGTGTTCTTTCCTGTCCATTATTGTAGCTATTTGACAGATTTGGATAACCTGTTTCCAGAAAACAAAATGATCTGTTTCTTTGCTTCAACATGATATATCTTATTCCTATTTAACTGCGGAATTGAGATAATGTTCAGCTACCTCTGATTAAATGAAGCATTTTATAATACTGTGTGGCAAAGGAGGAAGTTTCCTGTCAACAGCAGTTAATTTTCTAATAATGGCCGTTCATGAATGTGTGTAAAATACTAAAGATCTGGAAATATAATCTCTTGGATGTATTTACACTTATATTTTATCTGTGTATATAATTATAAGCTGATTGTTTTTATATATTATATTAATATATAATATAATATATATAGGGCTGTTATGGGAAAAATAGGAGACAGGAGTATTAAATATGATAGACAGAATCTTCTGTGCAATTGTGTATATCATAGGCCAATACCAAAAAGATTCAAATTCTGAACATAGAATTTAAATGAAAGAAATTCCTTTGAACAGTGTTGATATGCTAAGCATGGCCCTGAGGAATTGCCATTCTGTTATGCATTTGTTTAAAAATTAACTGCATACTTTTAATAGTGCTTGGTTTATATGTAAATAGCAACTAATTGCAAGACTCATGGGCTGAAACCTAATACTTTGCTCATTATCTTGAAGCAATAAAATGTGATGATATAGCTTCTGGTATGGAATATAGTTTTCCCTATGAAATTGAATGTTAAGAAGGGAAGTTTGTAGTGCTCTAAGGTATTTTTTTTAAAAAAGCTTAAATTGTTTCTTGCATTCTTAGTTAAAACTGATAGCACATTTATCATTACTGATCTTTAAAAAAGAATGTGTTTATTGAAATGAAAACACTCAAGTTGAACATGCCTACAGAAAATAAGCAAAAAAAGGTTATGAAATAGACAAAAATTGTGTGCAGTACCCACAATCTAAAGTTGCCAACTCCAGTTGAAACCAATCCAGGAGATTTACCTTCCACCCAAGAATATTATGTATGTATGTGTGTGTGAGAAAGATATTAGTATGTGAGTATATTTGAGAAATATCTGGAGAAACACTAGATGGCAACAAAGAATTTCAACTGCTGTTGAGTTAGCTACAGGGATGAAAAGGAAAGAAAAAAGGAACAGTTCTTTGGTATTATAAAAGGGTTAAACTCATCAGGCCAAAAAAACTTGAGCAGCAGTTGTCTCTCACTCCTATTCAGACAGCCACATCTATATTCATTTGTGCCTATTGTTCATTCCATTTTTTTCCAACAGATTCTTCTGTTCTTCTCAATGAATTTCAGGTAATTATTTTGGGGGAAAAGCCTTCCTATTGCAGATGCATTGTTTCAGTTAAATCCCACACAGAAATAGCTTTTCAAATGTCTTGATCTTTCTGTAATCTAAAAATGTATTGCTTTATGAGACTTATCTTACCATAAAGAAAAAATTCAGAAGAATAAATGTACAATCAAGTAATTAAATTATGCTCACTGTAAACAATAGTCTATAAACAAAACCTTCAATAAATGGAAATTTCTTGAGATAAATTAAAATGTAACACTGAAAATTGTTTTTAGTGATATTAGGGATCAAGATCAGAGTTTATATAAACTTTGAATGTGTGCCGGATATGAGTTAATTATGTGTTTGTTTTTGATATTTAGGGTCTTTGCAAGTGATGAATAAAACCAGAAAAATAATGGAAAATGGAGGTGCCAGTTTTGTTAATGCATTTGTAACCACTCCAATGTGCTGTCCATCTCGGTCCTCGATGTTGACAGGGAAATATGTTCACAATCACAATGTCTATACTAATAATGAGAATTGCTCTTCTCCCTCCTGGCAAGCAACACATGAGCCACGTACCTTTGCTGTGTATCTCAACAATACTGGATATAGAACTGGTAAGGGATTACTCTTCACGCTCCTTTTTCAATTTGATTTTAAAAGGTGCTTGTTTTCAATTTCTTAATGCTGTTAATAACAGAATTATTTTTGGAAAGCTGATGCAGCAATTTTACCAAAGCTTAATGGTACTGTGTCATGTCAATTTGTGGGTAGGAAATCAGCAGAAAGCTGTATAAAAGAGCAGATACTAAACTTATTAAAGAGTAGTAGCTTTGGTAGATAGAGCACACTTTAGAGGATGGGTGTCAAACTCTCCACGTCACGTGACATGTCGTGATGTATTGTGACTTTTTTGCATTGCCGGAGCTGAGGTGGGTGCAGCCTCCGTATGATACAACTGGCCCCATGGGCCAGCAGTTTAACACTCCTGCTTTAGAGAGTCAACCTGGACCTATATTAATGTGAAGGTCTTCAAATAAAAATACAGGGATTTTCTTCTCAATAAGGAGCCTGCCTTTATAATCTTTGTAGTCCAGATCATATCTGTCCTTTGCATTGCCCTAAAAATTAAATTGAAACAGAACATTTTATGAAAATGCAAACTGCAGATAGAGAGCAGGCCCTAATCTTGTTATGAAGGATGTGGAGAAGACAATCTAATGGACTGCCAGCATTTATCAGGGGTTGGATTCAAGTTTCTAGTTCCTCCTAGTTTTTTGCCCTGTGGATTGATATCCAGTTTTCAGTTGAGAAGGAATGTGGCTTTGCCTCAAAGGCAGGAGAGGAGATTTTTGAGCTTTACAGAGAAGATATCTGAATCTTGGGAAAGTAGAAAGTATAGAAATAAATTCAAAACAACTCTTCCTTGACTGTATTAGATACAAGTTGAAGTAAAAAGGGGCTTTGGCAGACTTTCAAGATCTGTTCCAATACCCTAACTCATTAAAGTACATTTCTTGTGACTTCCATTTCCTGACCTTGATGGGCTGACATGAGCTCTTGGACTCTTCTAGCTCAATTTCTGTCTAAATAATTCAGGTTTTATCTCCCTCAGTTACTTACACAGGGAGACATGTACTTTGCTCTAGTCTAGTCCATAGGCAAGATTGCTCCAATGAGTCTCCCATTGTGTGTAAGCTTCAGTTTGATTTACAACCATCAGCTTATGTGTTATCTCTGTTTATGCATTAAACTGATTTATGGCTAAAGTAATTGAAGAACTTAAAAACTACATGCTAATTTACTCCCACCTGTTCTCAGCTCTACCTTGAACAGAAGAGTTTCCAATCTTTAAAGGCCCCTTTCCTTTCAGCTTTCTCTGCTGAAATAGAGTATGTTCAGTTGAGAGCCCAGCTGATCCAGCTAATTGCTCTGATTGATGCTTTGCCTTTGCAGCTGAACCTGCTGACTGCTTCAATCCTTCCATGATACAAATGTTCAGTAGCCATACTTGAAAAGTTCTCACAACTAATTTCCAACATTTGCAACATCCTGAAGATTATCTAACAAAGTAGACAAAAATTAGTAGGGCTAGTGGCCAATTATGCAATTTTATTGCCTTATAATTGAAGACCCCATTACCAGATCAGAAAACTACAACAAGGGCACCACCCAGTGGCAGAACCTTTAAATAACTTCCTGCTTTTGACAAGACTTGAAGAAGAATGAACTGATCCATTCCATAAAGACCGGGAGACCAAATTCTTGATGACTTGGCCTGCATTAAGCAGCCATCCACAGTGTAGTACCTTATCTATCTTTATTTATTTAGCATATTTATAAGGTTGTCAACTTCAGATGACTTTATATGGTATACAAAAATAAAAATAAGAAAGAAAGTGAGGAAATCAATAAAAGACAATAGTTAAACGAGAAGGAAAACCACATATTCTTTTATCCCAGAGGTCTCAAATGCAGTCCATGGGCCATGTGCAGTCCTTAGGCTCTCAGGAGCTGCTGGATTAACTTCTCTGTTGTACATATTTAGCCATGCCTGGCAGCAACTTCTCAACAGGGTGACTGTACATTCCTGATTTATTATTTACTATTTGTCCTAGGTTTTCTAGTCTTAGGCAAAATATTCCCACTGTCTTCTTCCATGCAGAGTAAGCTGCTCTCCCATAATGCCAGCTTGTGTAGTGCTAAGTGCATTTAGTGTACTAAGTGGCTTGTGTGGCACTGCTGTAGGGGAGAAGCCAATTCTGCAGAAATTGTTGCTACTAGGGCAGAAGAAAAGCCTGTGGTGTATAAGAGAGGAGAAGTTGATATTGCAGAAGGCAGTGCTTTGGGGAGAAGGTGGGAGCTCTCCAGGGACCTCACAGGGGAATTAATAGCAGGAAACAGTGCCAGTTTATGTGCCTTTGCTTCCTTGGACCGAGCTAGTTGGCCTGTTAATGGCATAAAGACTCAAACTGCCAGGGGTACTTTTGGTATAGAAAAGAAAAGCAGTAGGAAAGTCAAGAATAATAAATGTTTTTTAAAAAAAATATATAGTTTTTGCATGGTTTTATTATTTATTACTTTAGCGCCTCTGTCACTCTTAAATGTGAGGTAGATTAGGCAACAGATTATATGGTCTGTGGTCAAATGGAAATGTGGCTTCCTGTTACAGTGAGAACATGATGTTTTATAAACATGTTTTAAATAAAAAAGTCAGTTTCAATCATTTTAATATTAGTTGCATTTTTGCAGAGAGTCCACCAGCTAGCACATTGAATGTAATGTATATTCATTTGAGTTTGAGACCCCTATTCTATCACATTTACATTCTTGAGCCAACTACCCATCCTAAGGCAAAATCTTAGAAAAAGACTCAGATTTTAAGGATTCATATAAAAGGAATGAGGTGACAGTTATTTGGATTTCTGGGAGTATATTTTCAGAGCCTGGCACAATGGCAGAGAAGGTCCATTCCCTGGATTCCATCAAATGACATTGTTTTATAAACAGGACCTGGAGCTTGTCAGTTCTGTCTGTCCACAGTCCCTGGGGAATAGATACTCTCTCAAATGCAGTACTTGGCCTTATGCCATGTAGGGCTTTAGAGGTGATAATCAGTGCTTTGAACTGGAGATAGAAGAAAACTGGTAGCCAGTGCAGCTCAGAAAGCATACTGAAGCATGACCACCATTGCTCTGCTGCAGCACTCTGGACCAGTTATAAGTTCTAAACAGTCTCCAAGGCAGTCTTATTTATAGCACATTGAAATAATCTACACAAGAAGTGACCGAAGGATCTCCTTGTTCAGCTGTCACACAAGATGCATCAGTGAAGAGAGTGTCCTAAACCTTCCACTTGCCCTTTGAGTAACAGTTAAGCTACCAGGAGGACCCAAATGAGGAACTGCAATCCCATTCAGAGCTAAAGAAAAAAAGTCCCCACACCCAGATGACTCCAACACCCATCAATAGGATTCCATCCAGATTCTCAACAGCTTTTAGGCCATTGGAATAAGATCTTGTCGGCATCACATGGTTAGCTAGAAGTTAGCAGAATCAAATTCCAAGGAAAAGGAAGCAGTAGTGAACGATGGCAGGGATATGCCTTGTGCTTCCTTGGGTTCAAGGGGAGTGACGTTGCCAGAACCATTTTCTGTCAGTACAAATGCTTCCCCCATAGACATATGGCAACTTCTCTCGCTTGGGCAGAAGGCTACCATGCTATGCAGAAGTATCTAGAATAGTCTTCAATGGAAAACTTCCTTTTGTGCTCTTTTATAGCTATTTTGAAAATACAGTGTAACTTTCAGGTTCTGCAATATCCCTTCTGTCTTTAATCATCTAAAGCATGATATTTTGTGAGATTTCATGGAACAATTTGATACTATTTATTTGAATGACATTCTATTTTATCGTCTCTCGAGATATACACATGCCATGTTGAGGCAGTTTACAATGGTTTCAGGAACATTATCTATAGATCAAATTTTTAAAAATGTAAATTCAAAGTAGCCACCATTGACTTTCTGTGCCATCATATTTCACTAGAAAGACTTCAGATGGATCTAATAAAGATGGAAACCATTCTGGTTTGGCAACCCCTCAGGGATTAAAATTGTTCAAAGGCATTCTTTACAAACTCCATAAACTTTGAGACTTTGCATCAATTGGATTTTGCATCTATCCCTGAGAATAGAATAACATTATTTGGAATAAGGAGTTTTTGCCCATTAAGATGGCCTTTGGAACCTGGCCTTTGACACTTGTTTGAAAGAGCTCAACATTCTGTGGAGGTAAGGAGAAGCCACTATGGCTTGGAATACCTCCAGACAGCTTGTAAACTAAACCAAAGGCGGTAGTGTGGATTACTATTCTTTTTTTCCATCCAACTTCAAAGTAACTTCCATCTCAACCAAAGGATGGATGCCTTGTTTCAGAAGTCCAAATATTTGTTCTTTGGTTTAGGCCCACCATAGTCAAGAAATTCTCAGCAGATTACAATTATTACAATAAAGTATCCACATACAGTTCCAGTTATATAGCAATAAACAGTTATCTGTGTTTTCCCTTTACAAAAGAACATATAGGGAGGAAATGTTTGGGCTACATTTTCTGACTCCCTCCTTCATACAAGGATGGGCAGTGTTGACCTAGAGAGGGCTATCCAATCATCCTGAATGCTGCTGAACATATTTTACTGCCCCAGGTACTGAGACAAACAACAATTGGTTCAAGGCACTCACTTGCAAGTTTGTAACTACAACTGCCATTGATCATCTCCATCTGTTATAGGCATATTCTTACATATCCTTGATTATTTACTACATTAATTTAAATACTGGAGACTTTTCCTTTCACACACACATGTCTTTTGATGTTTAGACGTTCAGATATTTATAAGGCACTTTACTGCACTGGACAAGGCAGATCCAAAAAAAAAATATTTTTCTTAGTTAATTAACCAATGCCTGCATTTTAGCAAGCCTTGGTTTGAAAATATTGTGTTATCTCTGGAAAAAAGGAGAGACTTAAAAATATTTGGAATATTGTCATTAAAATGGTGTTAGTCAATAGGGGGCCCTCTAGCATCTCCCAGATCAGTATAATCTTTCAACAGGGTAATAGACATTGAAATCTCAGGTATCAGGTGAGCACAAGGTTGAGGATAGATAAATAGAACTCAAGGGAAAGTTGGTCACAGTCTCAGATTCAGAGGATGTGTCTACAAAAACTGGAACAATACTGGAAGGTTATTGATGCTTGAATCATAGTATGAAAACATCTATGACACGTTAGTATCCTAAGGGAGAAAAAAGATGAAAATAGTAAAAAGTTTAAAATCAGTTGCAATTAAGGGAGTAATGTGGCAGGAGGTTTTTTGCTAACCATTTCCTCTTTTCTCATCAATTATTGTTTACCTTGTTGTTTATCTGGCCTTAATTGAGAAAATTCAAATAGACTCCATTATTCAAAATTGGCAAGATAAGTTACATGCTTGTAAACAATGGTGCTGTATCCTGCAAAATTAGATTTTATCTATGTACTGTCTGTTTTTTATATCTCTTTAGAATTTACAGATTAAAATTCTCCCTTTGGGCACCATTAGTTACAATAATGAAAAGACAGGCAATGATATAACTTTTTAATGAGACTTTTTATTAATTCAGCTGTATTTGTATGCTTATTAATTATACATATATAAATTAATTTCTAATTTTCCTTGCCTCTGTTTTTAAATATATTCATTGGCAAGGGGCATTTTAAATAGTATGAAGATGTGAGCAGCCAGTTGGAATATTTTTCTTGGTTTTGTACAGGGATTATGAGGATTAAAGGTCAATACATCTATAGTGCATTTAACAGAGGAAAGCTGATTTATATTATAAATCACAGATTAATTTATATTACATTTTTATGGCAACTATTGCTATTATATACAATGACTAAGATAGCTTCCATCTATTTTAATTACTTAGCTTCTAATATTTTTTAAAAAAACATCCTTCTAATTATTATTTTGACAGTACAATATATAGTATAGTACTGAAATTTATTTGTTTTGTTTTATTTCTATATCAATCTATCCCAACAAAGGAGTCTGGGTGGCATACATCATAAAATTAAAAAAACAATACAAAATAAATATATATAGGATCAGATAAAACTGTTACTATGGACATTAATATAGCCAGAAAATTGAGCCCTTAACACACATTCAAGGCCTTGGCACCCAATTAAGTCTTCACAGCCTTATGAAAGGCCAACAGGGTCAGGTCATTCTGATATCTGAAGGGAGAATATTCAAGAGGACAGGGGCTGTAGCAGAGGATTGACCACACTTTCTTTAAGGCCTGGCAGAACTACCTCCTCTCTCAAGAATGCATTCACCACTGCCAGTCGTTGTAATTGCATTGAATCAGCGTAAGATTAGGCAAACCTTAGCATTTTTTGCAAGAACCAAGGACTGGGATGGGCCAATTATGGAGTTGAAGAACACATATTTGTTGATTTTCAATTTTCTGTATTTATCCGTATTTGTGTAATCTGCTTCAAAATGATGAAGAATGTGCCATCAATTCTTGACCTTTATAGATGGAAAACGCTCCAATTGCCACAAAATTTAGGGCTGCACATAGATCTGGGTCTTTATGTTGCCAACTCTTGCTGTAACCAACTAGCTAATTTTTTACTTCATAAAACACCACTGTTCACCAAGTGCCATTGAATGTGGATTCTTTTTCTTTCACAGCTTTTTTTGGAAAATACCTCAATGAATACAATGGCAGCTATATTCCTCCTGGCTGGCGAGAGTGGGTTGGTTTAATAAAAAACTCTCGTTTCTATAATTACACTGTTTGTCGCAATGGCCTTAAAGAGAAGCATGGATTTGAATATGCAAAGGTAAGGAAGAATCAAATTTATCTTTTTATGCGCATAGGTAAAACCTATTCTTGATAGAAGAAATGATATTTTAAAATCATTTCATTGAAATAGTACTCTTAATTTTTTCTGTTGATTATATGGTTAGAACTTTTTTCACATAATGTTCATAGAAGGTTAGTTAACACTAAGGTGACCAACTTTTTTACATTGAGAAGGAAGACACAAATAAATTGAAGAAAAAAAAAGTGAGTCTAATGCGTGTGCATGTGCCGTGTCATGTTTTGGTAAGAAGTAAATAAAGCCACTTGCGTGCGGTGCACTCTTGCGTGTGGCGCACTCTCTCAAAACAATTCTCCTGTGCGGAGTGCATGTGATTCATAATCGCGTCTCGCTGCACTGTACTGAGCCTTGACAAATCGTCATGTCAAATACAAATACGTCACATCACACGCAACGGATCGGATCAGCATCGATCGAATACAGAGATTTACAGATTAGTCTTCAAATATCAAAAAGGAGGACATGTAGGAGGACATCTTTCGAAAGAGGACAGAACTTACAAAAGGAGGACTGTCTTCCCTAAAGGAGGATGGTTGGTCACCTTATTAACACTATGGATTTCTGGTTATGAAGAAGAAATAATGAAAGGTACTAAATCCTGGAAACTTGACTGTGGCAACAGACAAACATGCAGACACATACAACAAAAATTACACAGCACACTTTGTTTCCCATGAAAAGAAAATATGTTTTATCTTTTGGGGGAGAGATAATTTGCAAAACAACCTGACTGCCTATGTTATGTATAATAATTTGGCATTTGAAGTTTGGAGAAAACTTTTTCCTTTAGAGAAGTAGGATAAAAACTAACTTAAACTAATAATTTAGGTGAGAATATTTTAAAAAAATAAAGAAAAAAACCAAAAGCGCAGAGAAAAAAAATGAAGAAATTAGTTCTGATTTTCTTTTACAGTAGTTATGAGTATAAATTCAAATTGACCTCTTACTCTAGGGTTACAACACACTTTCTTTCATATTTTTTCACAAAACTGCCAATGCCAAAGTACTTTTGGCATTGGCAGTTTGAAAACAGTCCTGGAATGAGAACAAAGTGTTCACAGCTGTTTGGGCTTCCCTAATAGTGTTATGTGAAAAAAAATGCACTTTTTTCACTGTTGCTTTTGCAGCTGTTCATGACCCTGACTCCACATCATCTGATTGATTAGTCTTGTCTGGAAATGGTTGAAATTGTATGTTCATGTTACCTTGGAACTCCTCATTGGAGTTCATGCCAGTTATTTGATCAAAACCCCCACAAACCTAGAGATGGCAGTTAGTTTAATTCCCAACTTTTAAAAAAATTCTTTCCCTTTGTGTGTGTGTGAGAGAGAGAGAGAGAGAAATTTTTCATTTTATTACATTGGCTATATGTTAAGCTGCTTAGCTGGTATGATAGGATTTTGGTATTAGTAGATGTACTGTCCTAAAATGAACTGAGTTCTTTTTAAATTACAATTATAGCCAAGAGGCTATAGTGACTGAGCTTGAGTGTCTGATTTAAATGTTTCTTTGTCTTCCATTTTAAAAGGTGTTATTCCTCCTTACCTACACAGGTAAGCCTATTGGAATGCAGGCTTTCAGCTGCATATATTTGACCTAGGAACTGTGCCCAACCTCTAAAACTAGATAGGTGAAATCCTTTCAAAGCCTATCAGACTAAGCCACTATAATATGACCTTGTGATATTGGATGCAGTTAGCAAATTGTCGCTTATGTTGAATGTTTGTTTCAGGACTATTTTACAGATTTAATCACCAATGACAGTATCAATTATTTCAAAATGTCTAAGAGGACATATCCCCATAGACCTATAATGATGGTGATCAGCCACGCAGCTCCCCATGGCCCAGAGGACTCTGCACCACAATTCTCTGAGCTGTATCCAAATGCTTCTCAGCACATGTAAGTGAAACTTTATACTGTGAACATGCTGGGGGTTTGCCACTTCATTGCTGACTGCCCTTTTCAGGTGTGTAATGAAATGGAGAGTTGATGTCCTACATAGCTTCAGCCAGTCACCTTCTTGCCCTGCTTCAGTTCTTTGAGGGTTCAATGAAATACTCTAGAATGTTCTATACTTATATGCGGGTCCTATATTTGCTACTTTTTGAAAAGCATAATCACAAGGAAAGCCTTGTGAACATTTTTGGCAGTATGAAATACTGAGTTGTCATTTGGCTTGGTGTGTGGACTGTAGATGCCTAAAGCAGTTGGAACACCTTTTTCTTCCATCTTTCCTTTTTTTCTCCTTGGGGTTGCCTGCATTTCTTTCAATTGTCTCTCTGAACATTTTGTCTCCTTTCTGTACAATTGATATTATGTTTGCACTAAAGCTTGATGGAAGAGAAATAGATAATGTTTTGGTGTTGTGCAGTGGATTGTACCTATTCATGGTGATAGATGTGGATCACATATTTGCATGCTTCTCTATTAAAAACCACTGAGTAAAACATACAGAATGAGTATGAATTAACATAGCAGTGATCTTTCACATGATGTATTTGCTGATGCGTTTATAACGTATTTCAAAAATTTATATTTCAGAATTTCCCCAGGTTATCCTCCTATATGTATAAAACTAGGCCTGAGATAAATATAACCATGGTTGCACAAGAAAGAAAGCCAGTTTATTTCACCATTTTAAAACAATAAATGTAAAAAATATGTGGTTGGGATTTTGACATCTATTCTTCTTCCCATTCCACCCACACCTCCCCTGTTCTTACTTTGATGTATTAATTGGTGTGATAAAGTGCTTTATTTTGAACTGTTTTAAGTGAAACTTTGTAAAATTGTTCATTTTGAATATTCCAGATGCAAAACATCTCCTTTGAAATAGTTGTTTCAAGCTTGCAATACTTTCAAAATAATAAAAGAGCTTATTTTTGTACCTGAAATGGGGACGTTTAAACTCTCAAGCATTTATTTTTGTATATTCCTAGTTTTTAAACCCTTAATGTATTTCAAATAATCAATACATAAATGTCATAATGGCTGACTGGTTGACTGAAGTTGCACAGTCAAGAAGGGAATCAAAATAATTTTAAGATACAAAAGTTTCCCAACCTGTACAGGGTGAACTATAGAGTCATGCAGTCATGGAACAGAATGGTTAGACAGAATCATGGAGATCATCTATCCTAGGGGTTCTCAACCCCTGGTCCATGGACAATTATTGGGCTGTGGCATACCAGCACCTGGTCTGCACAAACAAGCAAAGCCCCATCCATGGGATGCAGGCAGCACACAAAAGCACACACTCTCTGGTCCACGGAAAAACTTTTCTCCGCTGAACCGGTCCCTGGTGCCCAAAAGATTGGGGACCTCTGATCTAGCCCAACTCCCTTTCCAATGCAGGAATATACTGCTATAGCTATCTCTGACAGATGGCTGTCCACCCTGTTTAAACACCTCCCATAAGAACCTACCATCTCCTGAAGCAATTTGTTTCATTGTTAAACAGTTCTTAGCATTATGAAATACTTCCTGATATCCAATCAAAATCTTCCTAACTATTCCATATTTCTACATTAGAATCCTTTGGATTTTTAAAAACAGTTATCATATTTCCCCACAGACGTCTCCAAATTAAATATCCACAACTCTTTCAATTGTTTTCTCATAAAGGTTTTCTTTCAGGTCTCTTAATCATCTTAATTGTTCTCTGGATGTGCTCTAGTGTATTAGAGTTTGTCCAACCAGCACAGAAATGAGAGTACAAATGACTTTATATTTTCACAGTACTTCTGTTGATGCAACCTAGAGCTGCATTTGCTTTATTTCCACCTACACTATTGGCTCATATTCAAATTGTAATCCATCAAGATGCCCAGTTTCTCTCAAGATATATTGCTTCCCAATATGGTCTTTCCTACTCTACACTCATTCCTTTGGTTTTTCCTTTCCAAATTAAATACTTATGTATATGTCATCCACATTATGTTTTCTATGTCCTCACTCAAAACATTAATAAATATATTAACAGTACAGAGCCTAGGAACTTTGTAGTATTTCAACACCTATTTCCACTTGACCAAGAGCCACTCATATAGGCACTTTGGGGTTTATAACTGTAATGAGTTCTGTATCCATCTCCTGGGACCAAAATCCAGTCCTCATTTTGCTATCTTCTCTATTAAGGTTTTGTGGGAGACTGGGCCACACTCCCTCTGACAGACTGTTTAGCCAACAGATTGCTTCTATGATCCCTCTTAGCAGGGAGTCTCTGATCACCAGAGACCACTGGAATAGCAAATAGCTCTATTTAGGCCAAGCATTTACTTTTTAAATACTGAAAGGTTGACTTTCTAAAGTTTTTGACTTTCTAAAAAGTATGCATTATCACTTCATCAGCTAATGTTTCTTCCCCCACCCCAAAAATAAACAGGATAGCAGACAGGATAGCAGGATGAGGCAGGGGAGGTAAGGAAGGGGAAGGAGGACTTGCTGAAGCCTGTCAGACATGGCTGTGTTCTAAAAGTTTAATTAGAAGCAGATTTCATAGAGTGGTTGAAACTAAGGCCAAGTAATAGCCCCATTTAATCATTTTTAAAGCATGTAAGCTGTACTGTTCCCATATGGGGGAGGGGGTGTCTGCAGCTGAGAGACTCCACTCTCTGTGGAGGCTGTCTGCACAGTTGAGAGCTCTGATTGAGCAGGTTTTCCATTAAATGAAAGGTCTTCATAGACAAAGGAAGCCCTCTTTTGCAGTGAGTGGCCTGTTTACCTGTTGGAAATGATGGAAGGCAAAGCAGAGTTAAAGAGTTTGTCTTCACACTTGCCCCCATTTTGCATGTGGTAATCTGTACTCCCTTTAAAAATGATCAAAGAAGGCTCTCAAGCATTGAAGTTAACAGCCACTTCCACTCTTCTGTATTAGGAGATTGAGAAAAGTTTTGTCTGCACTGAACACTTTATGATATTAATATCTGAGCTTGGTAACCATGGAAACTTTTGTATGCATTCCTGCAAATATGAAATAGTTGAAGCCAAAGTGATTTGTACTTAAATGATTATAAAAAGTATGAAGGCACAAATCAGAAATCACTATTTTCTCCCAACCCAGCTGTCTTGAAATTCTGGGAGTATTATGCATTGTTTATTCAGTGATTGCTGCAGGAGACAATGGAATATTTTGTTTTACTATTGAAAGCCTAAACAAAGTAAGAACTTATTTGGAGGTGTAAAAGAAGAAATGGAAGATAAACTGCCAGTTTACATAAATAAATTGCTAAAGGAATGGTTTCTGCAGTTTAATATGCTGCTACCTTATCATGGCCAGATAACAAAGGAAAAAAGCCAACGTGTCCCTGACTTTTCCTTTGGCATAGTTCATGAAAATAATGGCAAGAGCAATACAATCATTTAGTAAGAAGTGCCATCGTTTGAATATTTAACTATTGAGGATTCTTCTCTTTTGGTGGTCAAACATATTTTGGCACCACTTTTTTCTGGGTGATGGGTTTAAATTTAAGCTGTCTGACTTTTTCTTTTTGGGTTATATTGTTTTATATTGTTAGACTAACAAATATATTCGTATAATGTTAACAATGGGAAGTAATATTAAAATGAAAGACAAAAGGATTGAAAGGCTAGGAAAAAATATGTACAAAAGAAATATAACAAATGACTAATTTTTTGAAAGTTTTGTTCCTTGTTACTATGTTAGGAAAATAGTATAACTTGTTCATGATGAAGACCTTCAAAATTTAGCCACAGTCCTTTATTTTCCATATTCCATATTGCAGTTTATTAACTTTTCCTTGTAGCTCCAAACTCTAACAATTTACAAAAAAACCAAATGTCTGATCAGGAATTAAGGAAAAATAGTTTGAAGTTAGAAATAAGCCCTGTAGAAAATGGGGAAATTTTTCAATGCACTAGTGTGACTTTGGTAGTGAAATTTAAAGAAAATACAGTTTGTTTATTTTTTTCTTCCTTCCATAGGAGTATGGAAAGATTTCTGAAGGCCCTTAGCTGGTCTGATAACAAAAATGATTGAAAGGTCAATAAAATCTAAAAATTTATCTCACAAATTGTATTTCTTCCTGTGGAAAATACTTCCTACATTCTTTTAATTTCTTAAGATAGTTTGGACAGAACATAATATGGATCTCAGTCTGAGACATTTCCCAATAAAGGGCAAAGGCTTATCAGCTATACAAAAAGGAAAGGGTGGAATGCACAGAGCCCTCTCAGTTTCTACTGATAATCTTCTGGCAGAGCTAATATTCCACCTAATATGTTCCGCTTATTGTGGAATTCCAACCATGTGTAAGTTGCACTGGTGAGACTGAGATTTGAAAGACGTTATTTTGGCCTGAAGTATAGCCTTCAATAATTCAGTTATGGATGTCTCAGAGGACATTAAAATCTTTGACTCAGAGCATTCTCTTTTCAGCAACACCCAATCAAACACCTACAGCACAAACAGTAGTAGCATTAGTATTATATTCTCCCATATAAGAATAGACATAACATCCTTCTTAATGATGGCTGAAGCCATTTTCTTAGGGGCAAATGGGGCAGCTGAAGCTTGTGGGCAGCATCCAAACATTAATAGACTCTTCAGTAATCAAAACAAAAGATAAACTATTTTCTGGCTCTAATCATGACAATTATACAGAAATCAAGATAATAGTGCTTTAGGGAGTGGCGTGCATATTTGGTTTTATTTTATTTGTTTATTTATTTGAGTGGCAGAAATTGTGATGCTGTGCAACCATAGGAGCTGTCTGCTGCAAAGAATGGAAAGCAGAACAAATGTTGCTTGATAGCTTGGCAAACTTAGATGAAAAATTATCATTACAGTATTACTAAAGAACTATGATACAGTGTCTGTCTGTTAATGAGGAATGCCTGTTAATTAAGCAATCCCTTAATTACATGACATTCTTGCACCAGTAGGATTGTTGACACAATTTGGTTGAAATCAGTGGTTCTGTACCAAAACAAGTGTATTTGGATTTCAGAATAATGTCCTTTTTTTTTCTTAAAAATGTAGGATCTGTTGCAATTTGTCATTGACTGGGAGAATAAACTTAGTTTACTTCCACTTTTTAAAAATGTGCACATGCATGAGCCCAAACCACATTCAGGATATCAAGTTGCTTTTTTTCTTGCAGATTAATTTGTCCTGGAAATTAATTTTCTTGGACAAAATATAATAAAATATGTTTTCTATTGGGCAGTCATAGGCATAAGTTCTTCAATTATAAATGAAAGCTCTATCTCTAGTTAAAATGAACTAAAATCCCATCATATCACAGTGAAGATGTTGTGCAATGATAGCAGTTGCAATCCCAACTAATCTATTTTCAGATCTATCTTTGGGGAAAAAAAGGTTTCCTCTGGAAACAAGAGGTCAAATATATTAGAAGAATAGGTGTGGACTTTGGGGTAACATTTTGGTTTTCTGTTAAGTGCTGACCAACATTGGCCTGTGCGTTTTTAGTTACAAAATAAATTGCATCAGTAAACCTAAAAAGATTTGTGAGGTTTGACCACTCATTCTCAAAACAGTAATTATTACAACGGCTTCAGACCAAGTGAATATAATATTGGCATTATAAATATATAACATGCTGGAAATCAGATATCAGAGTTGTCTGAAATAAACTAGCTATTAATTGTGATTGCTTACTCAACTGGTAATTTATGAGTATTCATCTCATAATCTTGCATTTTTTCTGAAAAATATTTTGATGTGCAAAACATAAGAGCAGATTTTTTGTATCAAAAACTACAAATAGCTTAGTCTATGGAGTTCTTGATACTCTCTGAGTGTGGTGGTTTGTTTGCATTGATGATGTTACTTAGTTGGTAAGATATTTTCTTTTATTGGAGCTAAATCTATATTATTTTCCTCTGTAGAACTCCGAGTTACAACTATGCACCCAATATGGATAAGCATTGGATCATGCAATACACAGGGCCTATGCTTCCCATCCATATGGAATTTACAAATACCTTGCAACGCAAAAGACTTCAAACTCTGCTGTCAGTTGATGATTCCATGGAAAGGGTAAGAAATAAAAATGCTTAAAACCATTCTGTAGTATTACATTCTGAATATTGCTGTAGTAGTAAATCCTTGTCCCAGAATTCTACTTACATTCCATTTTTATATGAATACCCCAATTTTTATTCCATTCTTTCTTTCAGCAGTACTGATTGAGCAGCAAACCAAATACATAAAAAAGAGTAAGATTTCTTCTGGTAAAATAGATAGCATATATACAAGGGATATGTAGTGAAGCATTGTAGAATACAGGTAGTCCAAACCTTATGATCATAACTGAGCCCAAAATTTCTGTTGCTAAGCAAAGCAGTTGTTAAGAGAGTTGTGCCTCATTTTATGACCTTTTTTGCCATAGTGGTTAACTAAATCACTATAGTTGTTAAGTGAATCATGCGGTCATTAAGCAAATCTGGCTCCCTCATTGACTTTGCTTGTTGGAGGCCAGCTGGAAAGGTTGCAAAAAGGTGATCACAAGATCCTGAGACAGTGCAACTGTCATAAATACATGCCAGTTGCCAGGAGTCCAAATTTTAATCACATGACCATGGTGATGCTGCAATGGTCATAAATGTGAAAAATGATCATAAATCACTTTTCAGCGCTGTTGTAACTTCAAATGATAACTAAACAAAGGTGGTAAGTCGAGCATTACCTGTATGAGTCTCTCCATATTCTATACTAATTTAAAACATTCTATAATAGAAGCTTCATTGGGTTGTTTGAAATATTTCGTTCATTCAATGCAAATAGTTTGATATTTCATTTCAGGTGATGAAAAAGTAAAGACAAAAAAGTTAAAAAAATGTATTCAAACACATCTAAAGAGATTTTCTGTGACAGTGCTATTCTCTAAAGTTTAATTTTACAGTCACAGTTGCATGTTTTGCAGTTACATAGATTCATATGACCTGGAGAATATCAGAATTGCAGAGACCTATAAAAGCTTCCCAAGGTGTACCTAAAATGGAAAACATGGTTTCTTTCAAGCCTGAAACAAACAGCCCCATTTGAAATAATTCAATAGAACAAAAGTCAAATCAGTTTCAGTCTCTCATCATATCAAGCTTAAAATAAGTTGTATGCTGTGGGATTCCAGGAGACAATGAGAACTTGGAATCAGATCCTTACTGCCTTCTCAACTTTTCATCTGAGGTCCATAAAATGAGGACCCAAGATTGTTGGGAGCAATATGCTGATTGGGTAAACTGCTTAGAGAAGCTGTAAAGCACTGTGAAGCTATATATAGGGTAAGTCTATGCTTAATGGTCCAGGACCACAAAAGTAGGTGATAGCTGGCCAATGAACTTGCCTGAAGATTGGGGAAAGTGGCTATGAAAAACATTTAAAAATCTCATAAGAGAAGCATTTTTACCCAACCATTCACTTTAGAAAAGCCCTTAAGGTATTCAGGAAAGACCACAAAAATCTTCGATTAAATTCATCCCTGGGATGCTCAGCAACACAGTACAAGCCAAGGAGAGGAAGCTAGAAAGAGTCATTGATATTCAACAGTTAGCAGTCAGCCTGCAATTAATGGTGAAAACCAACCAGCCAAGCTATAAGTAAGTAGCCTGACACAGACATGGACAAAAGTTAATTTCTTATGGGTGCTTCCATTCCTATCAGGTTTGTTGTTTTACATTTAGTCAGGAAAAACCAAAAGTACAAATACAGATTGGGCAAGACCTGGCTTAAAAACAGTAACTGTGAGAGGGAACTTGGAATCCTAGTGGACAATCAATTAACCATAAGCCAGCAGTGTGCAGCAGCAGCCAAAAAAGCTAATACACTCCTGGGTCATATAAATAGAGGTATAGAATCAAGATCATGTAAGGTATTAGTACCGCTTTATAAAACCCTAGTAAGACCACACCTGGAATACTGTAGCCAATTTTGGTCACCATATCACAAAAAAAGTTGTTGAGAGTTTGGAAAAAATTCAGAGAAGAGCAACTAAGATGATCAAAGGCCTGGAGACTAAAACATATGAAGAATGGCTGCAGGACTTGGGTTTGGCTAGTCTAAAGAAAAAAAGAAATAGGGGAGATATGATAGCAGTATTCCAGTATTTGAGAGGTTGCCACAAAGAAGAGGGGATCACATTATTCACCAAAGCACCAGAGGGCAGGACAAGAAACAATGGTTGGAAACTGATCAAAGAGCGAAGCAACCTGATATTAAGGAGAAAGTTCCTGACAATAAGGACAATTCACCAGTGGAATAGTTTGCGTCCAGAAATCATGGGTGTTCCATCACTGGAGATTTTGTAAAAAAGGCTAGACAGTCACTTATCTGAGATAGCAGAGGTCAGTGATGGCGAACCTATGGCACAGGTGCCAGAGGTGGCACTCAGAGCCCTCTCTGTGGGCACACGTGCCATTGCCCCAGTCATAGGCCTTCAGCTGGGTTTATAAAACCTTTTCGCTTCAGGCCTTCGCCGCCGTGTGCAAAAAAAAAAAAAAGGATCAGTCAATTTCAACTTCTCATGGGGAAAAAAAGATCTTGATTGATTGAACTTTTTAGTCCCACCCAGTCGCCGTTACCACCGCAGCCATGCCCACCTGATGGACCACGCCCACATGATGAGCCACACCCATCCAATGGGCCACACCCACTCAGCACTCAACGATGCATAAGTGGGTTTTGGGTTGCAGTTTGGGCACTCAGCCTCTAAAAGTTTCGCCATCACTGGCATAGGTTCTCCTGATTGAGCAGAGGGCTGGACTAGAAGACCTCCCAAGATCCCTTCCATCTCTATTCTATTCTAAGACTGTTGTTATCTTTCCAGATAATTTTAAGCTAAGCACTGTTTGCTACTTAAAATGATTAATTATAATTCTCACAGAAAAGAAACAGAATATTGGTTGAGCATAAAACAAGACCAGAATGTTTTCTGAACACTCTGATTAAGCAATAGTTGGAACAGTTATATGCATTTATTTGCATTTGATTGTATATTTACAAACATATATTACTCACAACCACAACTGAACCAACAAAAATTAAACATAAGAGAAATCAAAAGCTCATTAAACAATTCCAAGTGTCAGTCAGTGTATTTTTGAATACACCCTGAACTCAGCTTAAAACCAGTCATATTAGCTTGCACACGCTGCCCACTTCCAAACAGGCTCAATAAATCATCCAAAGTAAATTAATCTTAGCAACATTATTGCACAAAGCCTCTTGCTCACTAGCACACATATTCTTTTCTATTTACCTGTCTACTATCCATACCATGAATTTAAATTTTACCATAGCAGAATTAATTTAAAAAATAGCAATAGTTTACTTACCAAATTGGCAGGCAGTGGCATGAAGTTGTTAGGTGTCTTCTTCCTCTGACTAGACTATAGTCAATTCTGCTGCTGCTGAGAGAATCATGTCTATATCTTTAAGGCAATAAATAAGTGTGTGTGGTCTCAGAGCCAGTGTGTTTTATCTTACCAGATGATTAGCAACCAGAGTCCAAAGGCACCATCACTGACTATGCATAATAAGGGTGGGAAGCCCTTCAGGTAGATCAGTCTAGGAAACCAATGTCTCATAGGTCAGTACTACTTTTATTGTAAAGCTACAATAATAGAATCTTACAAGTCTGAATGCATTTTCCCCTCCTACCCTTTATCTTCACATGAACTAGGAAAGGGCTTGTTTAAGACTTTTATTCACATTAAATTCTTGGCCTGGCCTCAGGCTTCTTTTCTCTGTTTCCTTGATAGCAGCTCTTCCTTCTTCCCTCTACATCTAGTGCTAGACAAAGGTGAGTTGGTATCAGAAGAACAGCTTTCATATACGGATAGGGAATGATGATTAAGTGGTCAATGGTCTTCTAATAAGAGCTGTGAGCTGCTGATTGGATCAACAGTCAGTAGCCCTGTTCTCTGTTTGTGATGGGTGAAGAGTCTATTTCCTGGCCCTGGACTTTGCCTTGACATCTTCCATTATGATGCTAGCTGGTGTACCACAGGAAGACTGTACTATTATGTCAAGCCTCTGTGCAGTTGTTTTTTCCCCATCCCTGACTAGCAAATTCTGAATTACTCCTCTTCTTTCTGATTAATATCTCTCTCTTTAGCTATTCTTCTGCCTCTTCCAATCATAGCTTTGGAGAGTAGAGTTTTATGTGGCTGATAAACTGGATCTAGTTATCTAGCCTTAAACTGGAGGGGGGCTGGAAATGAAAGAAAAATAAAAACAAAAAGAAAGAATTCTATGTAACTTGTACGTTGTTTCTTTATGTGCGAGAGATCTGAAAAGCAGGAAAAAGCATCTAATACTTACTATACTACCTCGTAATGAAGTATAAACTCACTAAAAAGCTACTAAACTAGAAGGAGATCAGGGAGGTGGGGTTGTTTTGAAGGCAGACAGCCTGATATGCTCACCAAGTTTCAGCAGTTCCCTTCTTTCACTGAGCTAGCAAAATGAATGACTACTTTTCCTTAAGTGCCCTAAAGGTGTTTCAGACCAGACAAGCCAAAGTCCTGCTGTTGAATTGGTAAGCTAGAAATTTAAAAGAAGAACCCTCAGCACCAAAGTCCAATTGTCACTCTTATAATGGTTGAAAGACTCAATTGTTTCAGCCTTCAAATAGACTACTTCTATTCCAAGATCAGGACAAACTACTGTGCTTTGTTCCAATCTGGAAACAATTGATGAAATGCCTGCATTTTGTTTGAAGCTTCAGGCCTTAAAAATGTGCATTTCAATACTGCTATATATCTGATGGAATTTGTATCTCTTCTAGAAGCATATGGTGAATGTTTGATGATTGCTGGATTTTAATTAGTTTATTAATGACATGGCCCTAACGGAATTATTTAAATGTAAATTTTGTGTGCATTAGTAACAATTGATTTAGCATTGATTTGCATTGATTTTTTTCCATTTATTGCATTTCAGTTATATCATATGCTAGTGGAAACTGGAGAACTGGAGAATACTTACATTATTTACACTGCTGATCATGGTTACCATATTGGACAGTTTGGACTGGTCAAGGGAAAGTCAATGCCATATGATTTTGATATTCGCGTTCCTTTCTTTATTCGTGGTCCAAGTATAGAGCCGGGATCAGTGTACGTTCTCCTATGTCTGCAGCACAGCTGTTGTACCTAATGTAAAATATTTGTAAGCACATTTGATTGTCATTCTTGTGGATGATTTCTTTCATCAAGATTATTGCAAAGCATGAACAAAGAAGAGTATCTTTTTGTTACTTTGGAAATGTTATTCTTTCCAAAGTTTGCTAGAAGTATAATGGCATATTCCTTTGTATTGTTATAGCCCCATACAGTTATTTTGATGCTTGCTGCTAAGACTGTAATGGGGTCATGTGAGGATATATTTCACTTACTGTGGTTTTACTGATATATAAATATTTAACCACGAGTCTGCTGACTCAAGTAGCATGGCTCTTTATCTCATTGCATAACTTAGTACATCCTGAAATTAGAGTGTCTCATCCTAATCCACTGTCCGGTAAGGGAAACTTGGAAGAAACTTGAAACTGCCATTGCATACAATGTTGTCTTAAGGTGTCATGCTTTTATAAAACAACACTCAAATTCTTTTAATTCTACAAAGATTTAAGATGTTTCTTCTAATGTTCATAATACAGCTTGACCTTTTCTGTTAATTTGCAGAGTATCTCACATAGTGCTAAATATTGACCTTGCTCCAACAGTTTTGGATATTGCAGGACTTGATACACCTCCAGATATGGATGGCAAATCTATTATAAAACTTCTGGACCTTGAGAAACCAGGGAACAGGTGAGCTGAAGCACTTTCTTGAAGCCTATTCATTAGCAAATGCCTGAGTTAGATTGTAAAAATGGAAAATGAAACATGTTAGACAAGTACAAGTGACCCTTGCTTTCCCAGCATGCAAAATTTTTTAAAGATCATATTTATAAAATTGTGGAAGTTGTGACTAAATATTTCACTTGGAGTAAAAATAAATTAGTCATCTTTAAATACATAGCCAGACATAGCCATGAATGCCAACAGTATATTATTGTTATTTTGATTTTAGGTTTCGAACAAACAAGAAAACCAAAGTTTGGCGTGATACATTCCTGGTGGAAAGAGGGTAATTATTGAAGTTGAGAGAGTTTTAGGAAAATTGCCTTGTGGGCAATTCTGTCAATTTTTGTATGCAGGCACATCCTTTGTTCGATCTTGTTTTGCTACTATTAACAGTGCAGGTTGTGAAGCTCATTCCTTGCCATGCCAGGTTGACCTGAACTGTAAAAGAAAATTGCCTTGGATGCTTTAGAGAATGGGAAGAAGGCAAAACAGAAACAATATTTGGGCCTTTTCCTCTAAGACTTCACTGGGTGCGAACTGCTTTCCATCGCCTCAGTTTTGGTAATACAAACTTTCTCCAATGGCACCCTTTAGGAACTGAGGAAAAAAACAAAACAGCAAAACACACAATTTAATAAGAATGAAATTGGTTTAGTTTTAGGACTGCACTGTTCCTCACAAGCCAACATGCCTAGAGAAATAATCTGCCCCCTCCCCTCTCTTATTTTTTACTCCTTTGGCAAAAGACACTGCTGGTTTGTATCTTTTCATCCTTCCTCGAGTCAGATATTATCAAAACTGAAGTACATAAGAGGGGTCCTGCCAAAGTATATGGGCTGAGGAAGGAATCCTTACAACTCTCAGCAGCTTCCATGTTAAAAACTTGTGGTGAACAAGCCTAGAGAGATCATCCTATGCAGTACTAAAGGCAAGACCAGATGCCAATTCTTATTCTGCCCTTTTTTCTTTGCCTGTGCCAAGAAATGATAGAAAGGAAGGCAAATGTCATATCCCTGTTTGATTTTATCCTGCATATTTTAATGTAGAACATATACCTTTCTTCTATCCATGTATTCTCTCATTAGGAGACAACAACTGCATGAAATCTGAATCTTGCCAGTCACCTTTGTCCTTCATATACATGTACATGTTCTACACTAAAATATGTTTCCCCTCCAGTATTCAGATCTCCCTGCAAAATGTGGAAATCTGTACATTGGAAAGAACTGAGCACACAGAAGGTCTTTTTAGATGTCCTTGTGAACATGTATATATCATATAAGACAGCTCAAAGATCTCTTTAGGCCAGTGTTTCTCAGCCTTTGGCAACTTTAAGATATGTGGACTTCAACACGGAGGCTGGGGAATTCAGGAGTTGAAGTCCACCCATGCAGGTTGGGGAATTCTGGGAATTGAAGTCCACCCATCTTAAAATTGCCAGGGTTGAGAAACATTGTTTTAGATCAGGGGTAGTCAACCTTGGCTCTTTTATGACTCGTGGACTTCAACTCCCAGAATTCCTGAGCCAGCTAAGCTAAGCTGGCTCAGGAATTCTGGGAATTGAAGTCCACGAGTCATAAAAGAGCCAAGGTTGACTATCCCTGTTTTAGATTAAAGCTTTTCTCATGTCTCACCCTGATCTGTATTTCAAATGTATTGCATTTTAATTCTCTGATAAACAAATGACAGTCCTTGCACTTCTGTTTGATTCATGCATATTATTCACACATACTCAAAAGTACTGCTTCTTTTCTTTTTAAAGCAAATTTTTACGTAAGAAAGAAGAATTGGGCAAAAATACCCAGCAGTCAAATCATTTGCCTAAATATGAGAGAGTAAAAGAATTATGTCAACAAACACGATACCAAACAGCTTGTGAACAACCTGGCCAGGTAAGCAGCAGATAACCATATAATGTTTAATTATATCTCATAATTCTTTAAGAATTGATGTGATAATGCAGTGATTAATTTGATAACACATTTCATAGGACCAGCTTTTTAAGAGACTACCTATCAAGGAAAATCAAGCTTTTGATAGTGCGCGCCATACCATGTGCACTAATCAAACAGGTGGTAAAGAAGAAGGGAAACTCAGACACAAAACAGGTTAAATAGAAAGTAAACAGGGTCAGTGAAAAAGGACTCAAATGTCTATACATCAACCCACGAAGTATGAGGAATAAGCAGGGTGAACTAGAAATTCACATGAGGGTAGTACGTGAGGGTAAATATGATATTGTTGTCATTACAGAAACTTGGTGGGATGAAACCCATGAATGGAACATATAGCTATAGGGATTTAAATTGTTTTAAAGAAACAGACCTAATAAAAGAGAAGGTGGAGTTATGTTATACATAAGAAATAACTACTTATGTACAGAAATAGAGCAGAACAATGATGAAAATTGTCTTGAATACATTTGGGTCAATATCAAAGAAAAAAAAGAATGATATTGCTATAGGTTTATACTATAGGCACCCAACCAAACAGAGAAAATAAATGAACTTTTTGCTAGTCAGTTAACTAAGGTATGTAGGAAGCACACCGCAATAGTAATAGGGGACTTTAACTACCTTGACATCAACTAGGAGACAAACTCTGCACCAAGTGCAGAATTGCAATTCTACATCAAACAGGTTCCAGACAAACCTAGCAAACAACTTTGTCTCCCAAAAAGTAGAGAACAGAACTAGGGGGTTAGCCATATTGGACTTTATTCTCACTAACACAGATGAAATGATAGAAGATGTTGAAGTTACAGGAACCTGGAAGGGAGTGATCATGCAATATTGGAATTCAACATTATGCAAGCACAAGCAATAGAACAAAATCAAACTAGAGACTTGGATCTTAAGATTGCTGGTTCCAATAAACTTAGAGCGATCTTGGGAAGGTTTCCATGGATGAGAATCCTCCAGGGAAAAACAACCCCAAAAGCTTGGGAAATTTTGAAACGTGAGATTGTAAAAACACAGTCTACTCACAATTCCAAAGAAGAAGAAAAAAGGTCTCAAAAGAAACCAGCATGACTGCACAAAGAACTGTCTGATAAATTGAAAGACCAAAAGGACAAGTATAAAAAGTGAAAAGAGGGGCACATAACTAAGGCAGAATGTCAGCAAATAGCTCATGCCTGCAAAGAGTAAGTCAGGAAAGGTAAGACTCAAAATGAACTAAGGCTTGCGACAAAATAACAAAAATAACAAAACAAAACCTTCTTTCAATATGTACCAGAAAGTAAATGAAATATTCTTCGTCTAGCCATTTCCAATCTTCTTCTGACCGAAAACAAGCATCTATTGATAATTATCCAATCCATAACTGCAATATTAAGTTGGAAAAAAGGAAGTTGATAAATTCCAGGTAGGGAGATACACACTGGCATCTGTGATTGTTAAATGGAATCTTCTTGTTAAATCCCTTCTTGTTGATTACTAATCAGATTAAGGGGGGGGGGGTGAGATGATGGCATCTATAAAAACTGGGAAAATGTTTTACATTGTTTTTGTTAATTCATTTGCTGCTTTTCAAAATGCTGTTTTTTTTTCTCCAAAGACAATATACATTTTTATTTTGATTCATTCTTCTCTTAAATGTTTCTCAGCATGTCACAAATTTTCAGCACTAAAAGCACTGCTGCAATTAATCAAGCAGCATATAGAACTTTAGACACGTAGAATGTAGCTTAATGAATGGTTTTGCTTGCTCACAAAAGGTGTCTTCATTCCCAGTCTGACGAAGGTCATTTTTATGGAAGTCCACAGTATGGTGAAAAAAGACTTCCGCTGATAAAAGATAGGCAGAAGTAGTTATTTAGAAAAGTCTGAAGAACCCACAAAAAGCATTTAACATTATTTTTCTTCTTAAAAACACCACTGATCTCAATACAGCTCTGTAATACTTACTCAGTTATATTAAACCACATGAAGCCTTATTATCAGTCTAAACTCCAGATTCTCAGAGAGAGAGAAAGAGAAAGAGAGAGAGAGAGAGAGAGAGAGAGAGAGAGAGAGAGAGAGAGAGAGAGAGAGAGAGAGAGAGAGAGAGAGAATGATGGCAAGTTAATGCATTTCCCCCACTATTATATACTAGCTTGTAGGATGGAGGGTAGCACAGGAAAGAGTTCATAAAATCTTGTGGTATGCAAGAAAATGTATATGCATCAGTACATGTGTACATTTCTATCACACCATTATTTAAGGGGCTAAGTAACATTATGCAAAACATAAAAAAGGAGTATAGAAGGTGTAAGTACAATAAATTTAAGGCACAAGAAATATAGCTAAAACTAGTTTACACTAACATATCTCAATGATGTATTCCTCTTCATTGCCTTTCTATGCTTGCAAACCATCTTTGTCTCAGTCACCTTCATTTATACACAGTTTCTTACTTTTCTTTTTCTTAAGCTTCTTTCTTTTTGAGGAATTTATCAACTCCAACTACCATGATTTTCTCAACCTTCCCTTTTATCTCACCCCATTTACTCGACCTTCTCACACACACATACACACACACATACACACACACACACACACATTCACAAGTCAATCATTGTAACATACTTATTTCCATTAGTCACTTTCCATTAGTCACTTTCTTTTAAAAGTAGTCTTTGAGTTATGAGTCATTGGGGATGCTGGCAAGAAGTTGCAAGTCCCACTTAACTTATAAGCAGATTGGCATCAAAGTAAATGACTGCTGCTGGTGGGAAAAATGCACCAGAGTGTGCAAATAGCAGGGGAGCAATGGCATGAGCTCAGCAGGGCTTGGGATGCCTGTTGCCAGATTGGGGGAGGTGTGTGATGGTGTGTGAGTGAGCAGGGGACATCGTGCAAGTGGAAAGGGGCTGGGTGCATGGGTGGGGAGGACTTACCCAAACAACTTGCAGTCTTCCCTACCATCTTGCCTGTTGGCTTTGCTTGTTTCCTTTGCCAGCAAGGAAGTTGTCTTGTGAAAAAGCACTTTTGGGACAATCATGACCTGGATGACTGAGAATCTCCATAGACAGTTGTAAATTACAGTCACAATATGTGGGTGCTGCAACCATCATAATTGCAAGTTGGTTGCCAGGCACCCAAACTTAATCATGTGATTGTGAGGGTGCTGGGACAGCTGGAACTTTGAGAACTGGTCACAGCCACCTCTCTTTCAGTGCCTGTGTAACTTTGAACAGTCATAATTGAATGGTTGTTATCAGGGACTGACTATGTATTCAATCTACCTTCACTCCGCATTTGTTCATTCTTGGCTAGTCTCTTTTGTCACATATATTAAAGTGCAGACCAAGTTGAGGATATTTAAGTCTTGCTGAATCCTCTGAACACGTTCTTTATTCCATGTTGCACTTTTTATGTCTTGGCAGTCAAACTTTCCAGCATATTTAAAGCTTGAAATTGTCAGCTGGCAATGTTTCTTTCACTAACCTTCAGGCGTGCCTATCATTGAGACATATTTTGTAGACAATGTAATTAATTTCCTTATTACACGAAAGGCTTTTGTGGCTGTCTCAAGCTGTCACAGCATATTAAATAAACGGTGTTCACTTTTTAGACTTCAATGGGACATTTATTGCACTTTAATGATGTTGAATACAAAGCTACATTAACACTCTTACAAAAACCAATAAAGGGAGTGCATCATAATCTACCTCATGTGGTTTATTGCAAATGAAATATGTTTGTCACCATTGGTTCTCTGTAATTTCTTAAATAGACAGGAAAAGTTTTTTTTCAGATAGCTTAGTCTGTGAGAATAATTTCAGAACAGAATTTAGCAGGAGGATAGAAGCACAAGGTCCAGGATTATTCTGAGAAAAAGCAGCAATATCAGAAAGTTACTATACATACAGTCAAGATAAACATACCTATATATTACATCTATAACTTCTTTAGGTTTCATGGTCAAAATTAAGCTATTAGGTTTCTATGAGAAAATCACTATTTTTGCTGTTCTAATGTGATTCTCTATAATATAAAAATAATTTGCCTATCTTCAACAGGAGTTGTGAAAACATCAATGATAAATGAATAAATTCAAATTTTTAGCAAATAGCAATGCTTTATCACTTTGGTACTGGAATTATCTTTCCTCATTTCTGCATCCTCCTTTTACAACATAAATCTACCCAGTATTCCTCCACATGATTGATATGAATGTATTACTTTTATATTGGAGTATTAGTTACCTGTCTATTTTCTGAAAATTATATATAATATTCTGGCAGTCCCAACTAGTATCTTCAATATTCAGTGTGGTATCCTGTTTACTCAGGGTGCCTCCTCATCAAGGGTGAAGTCACCAGATGAGTGTTTTATCTATTTAACTCAAGAACTGCTAAGCACCAGATTAGAGCTATAAATTTCCTTCATACTAGTCCTTTTGTTGGGCTAATTAAAAGTGGTGATAGGTGCACCATTCAAAGATCTGAAACACCAAGTTAGGGACAGATCCCCCTAGGGAAAATGTATCTATATAGTCATGAGAGTTGACACTGACTTGCTGGATCAAACTTTTTTGCTAATGATGTAGCTTCCTAGTTACCATGAACAAATCACATCTCATTGAACAGAGATGTAACTTTATAAAATAAATTACTACTTTTCTACTAGAATTATTTTTCTACTAGTACGGTAGCTATGAATCCATCATTCTCAGGATAAAGAAACTTGTATGCATGGAAAAACATTAAATTATGAGCAGAGTTCTGCCGACCCCTTTTGGTAACAGCAAGAAGTGCAGTCTCAACTTTTTCAAATCAAAGGCTTTCCATACTGCTACTTCTGAAAAACTGCCAAGTTGTATGGTGCAACCATACCTCTGCTCTGTGTCTTTTTCATTGGCTACAGAACCCAGGGATATGTACATGTCTCATTTTTGGAAACTTAGCAAGTGTGGTTTATTAATTGTTTAGAAATTTCATCCAGTTCTGCCCAAAACAAACCAAAAACTAAAATGAAGTTTAAAGGGACACAAAAATCATGCAAGTACTTTTTGAATTTGGTAAATTATAAATGTATCCACTCAGCAAACTTCACCTGAAGGACTTACACCTTGTTTGTATTTCTTTTTAAAAAAACTAATTTGCCTAAAAACATTTAATTTATTTATTTATTGTTATAAACAGCATAAGAAGGGTGGAGTATAGTCATTTAAAAACCAGAAGATAAATCAGAGTAAAAATAAAATTCTATATTTTTAAAAGCTATAAAATATAAAAGATATATGAATTTTAAAAACAAAGTATATATAGAAACAAGAGTTTAAAAGAAACTTTAGATGGGGTATAGGGGACCTTAAAATGTTAACACAGTATGTGAAAGTCTATGTCAAGTTACAGAGCATTAAGATATAACAAACTAGGTGCTGATTAAATCTAGTTTATAGCACTGGTCACCATCTGACACATTTTGAGTGCTATTTTGCACAAAATCTGGTAACCTTTATGTTGTAGCAGGGTTATTTGAAAGCAGCAGGAAAGTGAAGAATTGCCCTGTGCATCCTGGATATCTATGCAGTTAACTGTTATGGTAAGATGAGGCTAGTATGAATGCCACTGTAGTACATAGATTAATGTTCAAGATGCAAAAAAAGAAATAAATGTTTTCTAGGATATTATTGCCATCTGTGTTTCACTGGACTGTCTTTTTCTTTTTCTGCAGAAATGGCAGTGTATTGAAGACACATCTGGAAAACTACGTATTCACAAATGCAAAGGGGCCAGTGACATTATTGCTATGAGAAAAAGAACACGGAGTTTACATTCCCAGGGATATAGCAGCAAAGAAAATGACTGTGATTGCAAGGACGCTGATTATCAGACCAGTCGGGCCCAAAGGAAAAGTCAAAGGGGTTTCATGAGGACCTCCAGTGTACAAAGTAGGGATCTTGATGGGCAGCAATGCTAAAGAATCATTTGTTCCTTATAGGTTGAAAAAAAAAACTGCCAGTATTCAGACTGTATTCAGACTCACTTGTTAGAATGGGAATCACATCTTTGAATTATCATCCTAAAAAAATGTTCAGGTGGTAATCTAGAAGAGCAAAGGTAAATTTTATAAAGAATGTCTTGGTTTTACATTGCAGAGCATTCAAAAATTAAATTTCCCACCTGCAGAATTTGTGCAATTTATTTAATAGCTCTGTCTTCTATCTGCATAAAGCAAGTTCAAGTATGTTCTTTCTATACTAGCTATCTTTTAAAGACATAACTGACTTGAAAGTTGCCCATCCAGTCCAGTCATCTAGAGAGGGCCTTCAGAAAGGCCTTGCAATGTACGTTTGATACAGAAAAGATGACAGCCTTTCTCAGTGGTAGCTCTCACTTTGTGGAATATCTGTCTGATGGTTAAGGGACCCAATCTTTTTTGCATTTCACAAACTAGTGAAATTTGGAATGGCCCTAATTGATTCTGGACAGCCATTATAGGCATTTTTATATATCGTTGTTTTCATTATTTTCATGTTGCATTTAAATCAGGGGTCTTCAAACTTGGCCCTTTTATGACTTGTGGAATTAAACTCCCAGAATTCCTCAGCCAGGCACACTGGCTGAGGAATTCTGGGAGTTGAAGTCCACAAGTCATAAAAGGGCCAAGTTTGAAGACCCCTGATTTAAATGATGCTTGCTTTGTTCTCAGCCACCAAGCGTCTGTCAAGATTAGAAAGGATTACAATTATTTTTAAATAATAACTAAAAAATATAGTAAATCATCTTTAGAAAATCTTTGCCCTGAAATGCAGAATTGGAAATAACTATCACTATTTACATTATTTATATTAATTGTATAAACATCAGCACTGTATGAATGAAAGCCTTAATTCCAATGTATTGGCTATCTTTCAAAGAGTATGCATTTTATAGTTTCCTATTGATGAGTCTGTGATCTTATGCAGAATACAAACCCCGGTTTGTCCATACTCGCCAAAGTCGGTCCTTATCTGTGGAATTTGAAGGGGAAATATACAATATAAATCTGGAGGAAGAAGAAGAGAAGGAAGAGGAGGAAGATGAGGAGGAGTTGCACATCCTTCAGCCCAAAAGCATTGTTAAGCGGCATGGAAGTTACAGTGAAGAGGAAGAGGATGAAGAAGAGGAAGGTCATCCAGAAGATAGTGATGGAATTAAAGCAGTGCTTGCTGATGGAACTAACACAGTTGGCCAGCCAGATTCTGTCAGAGTTACTCATAAGTAGGAGTGCTTTACTTATTGCTTTTCATTATTTATTCAGAACAATCTACTATATGGGAAATAAAGTAAAGATAGCCCCAGGCAGTGGTGGGATTCAAATATGTGAACAACCGGTTCTCTGTGTGGATGCTGCTTTCAGAAGTCCATTCAGGGTCTGGGCAAAAAAGAAAAAAGAAAAAAATTAGCTACCAGTTCTGCCAAAGTGGCAGAACTGGCTGAATCCCATCACTGGCCCCAGGGTAGATTTCAGGGATAGAAAAGAGAAGATCCTAGGAGATACATCCTGAGCAAAAAGAATGTCTGTTTTCCATTTGAGGATGAATATCAAATGGTAAAGCCAAAGAGGCTTTGATTTATCTAGAAGAACTACAGAAGATTTGAAACATCAAAGCTAGAGTAGCACATAAGCCCTTCTGCCAATTTCCCTGTGTGGCCATTCCCTCTTTTCTCAATTTCCTTCACTGAGCAGGAAGGTCTGAAACAAGTTTATGATTGCATGGATTTTATTCAAATTTGGGCAAATGCATTTTATGCTTAATGCAGGATACCTGGGAAGCAACAGGACAAGAATAGTACACTTGAGATAGAACTAGTTTGCATAATAAAAAAACAAATATTATAGAGAACTTTTAAAGGTAGAAGAAATATTTGATGGAGGTAGGAGAAAAATAACAATTCTAGGGATAGTTTTGTATCATTTAAGTCCTGGGAAATGAGGTAGATATATTTGAAAGCAAATACCTTTTCTTGAAATGTCTGTGTTCTTCAATGTTCATAAGCTCAGATTTAATGTTTAGATACCCTGTCCTAAAACATTGGTATTGCTTTTTGTATAGAAATTTTTAGACAAAGCAATTACCACAGTTAATTGATATGGATATTATAAATCCAATAATAAGAGTTACTGTTCGCTTTTTTATTGCTGTGTTGATTCCTAGAATTTAGATTGGGTAAGGTTTATCAAATATATCACACTTTATTATTTTTTCTCTTCATTCTTTCTTTACAGATGTTTTATTCTTTCAAATGACTCTATTCATTGTGAAAGGGAACTATATCATTCATCCAGAGCTTGGAAAGATCACAAAGCCTACATTGACAAGGAGGTTGGAAAGTCTTAATTTAGAATTAGAACTGGTATTTTGAGACAGAATAATTTATCAGAAAATATATATTAAATGAACATTTGGAATGATATTGGAAGTGGGTGCAAATTACTGCATATTGATATGCACAATATATGTTCTGGAGATAATGGTAAACTATTGTTCAATGTTATATGAATGAGAATGAGACTTATCTGTGGTTCTCTCTCTTCCAGTATCTCTTCTTGTATCGAAGATCCCCACTTTCATTCATTGTGATTTCTTATAAAATATTAATTTGGACAAACTATGTAGTCCTATCCTAATGATACAAACAAGACAGCTTCAGACAATGGGAATCAATGGCTTGATTCCCTAAACCAGTCTTCCCCCACATGAAACTTTTAAATACATTGGGATTGTGTAACAACAACTCTGTTCACTTCAAATAACTAATATAAGAAATGGAGCATGGAAAAACTACAGAATCTAAACAAATAGACTGAAAGGTGGTCAATATCTTGTGGTCATCACCTCACACTAAAGAACATTCTAAACACTCTACGGTCTTAGAAATGCTTAGTGGCATTTCACCATGTCTGAACTTGTTCTTGCATTGGTGTGTGTATATATACAACAATCTACAAGATGTGCTGTAACATATGAATGTTTAAAGAACAGTAATAATTTTCATATGCATTTAGCAATGATATGAAACAGTTTAATGAGAAGATTTATCATGAACAATATAAGTATTGGGTATATAATATTGCTATTAAACCAGTCATTCTTTTTAAAGATTGAAGCTCTCCAGGATAAAATTAAAAATTTAAGAGAAGTAAGAGGACATCTTAAAAGACGAAAACCAGATGAATGTGACTGTAGCAAAAAGAGGTATATAAAACTTTCTCAAAAACTTACATATTATGAACTAATTTGGAAACCAATGTACATGGGAGCAAGATTAATTGTTCTCAAGTTGATTTTGTAACTAAATATGACAGCATGTACAGAAAGAAGTCATACAGTGTTGTCAGACAGAGTATTCTTTTATTGGATTTTGTTTCATAATTTCATTATTTTATAGAGTTCTATTTATATAGTTAAATTTCAGGAAGATTTTTGAAATAAGTAATCCTAGAAGCATTTTTAGAACAAATCCCAGGACCATATTACTATAGTCCATATTTTTTATATTGTTAATATAAAAAAGTAATTACTACACAGCTTTCTAGTCAAAGTAAATGCTTCTGAAATCTAAGAATTTTTTACCCCAGATCCATGCTTCTTTAAAAGAGCCTCGTTGTATATAGAATCAGTGCTGCTCATGATCAGATTTTAAAATATTAGACATGTTTTTGCTTTAAAGGGGCATTTTACAGAAAGTTTTTTATGTTATAATCTTTCTTTATAGCTATTATCACAAAGAAAAGGAGGCAAAAGTTCAAGAAAAGCTTAAGACAAGTCACCTACATCCATTCAAGTGAGTCTTCTTAATTTCCAGCATATTACTTGCCAGCATCTATTCATGAGACAAATCTTCCAATCATCTTGTCTTTCACATGCTATGGAAAGTTTGTCAAAAAAATTTTTTTTCATTTAATGATGTGAGATTTGGAATTAGGAAATAGCTTTAAAGAATTCCTTGGTTACATTTCAGTCTTTTGTTGTATCTCATGTTGATGGCTGAACTTTATATTTATTTCGCTGGAATTATGTTCAATTCTTTATACATCAATGTGGTTCAGTTTTTAAACATAGATTGTTTTCATTTTATCTGATTGCAGTACATTTCCATCCATTTCTATCGGTGACACAGATGCATAATAAAACTGACAAGGTTAAATATCATAATTGTGTAAACTACAATGGGCCTATAATTACTCCATCTTCCTAGGACTATAATCAAGCATCATTTAACTTGGTTGATCAGGGCAGAGATATACAACTGACTATCAAAGCATACAGATGATCCCTAAGCTATGTCAATGGATGATCACATCTAGCAGTTTTATTTATATAACTTAACTATATTTAAGTTAAAGAAAAGTGGATCCCTAAGCCACCCTATCATGTAGATCTGGTCCCACCAGCAAAACAACGGGAACCAGTCCTGGAGATAGGAGGAAAACTACCATTCCATTGTGCCTCCCATTCTCCCAAGCCAGTCCAGAACAATGACATATTTGATGGTATTCAAGGTCACTGAGTGATCAAAGAGGGTTAGAAGGAAGACCCTCCTCCCCAAATAGCTTCATTAAAAAGGGTTACATATCAAGCTGAACCAAGCAAAAGAACTCTAGCTTAATTCCTTTTTTCCAGAGCCCTTTGCTGAAATACAACCTCCTTCTAAAAAAGGGAAGATTGGAGACTGGATGAAATTGTCTGTTTCATAGGATCTAGTCATAGTTTATTGAGGAGAGGTTAGACCACTGTATCATTCAGAGCCCGTAGAACTACCCCATCTCATAACAGTACATTCACCACTACTGCAAGTCATCTCCCAGGAAGCCTTGACCAGCCAAGAGAGATAAATATAGATTCAAAACACATATGGCCTCACTTACAGCTTCAAATAACCTGCCCACTTCCTTTTAATTAATTACAAATTGTTAGTATGTTTTACAGGGTCTAGTTTATGTGTTCTTTCTTTTAAGAAAGTGGTTATCTGCTTGTATTCCACTATTCCCTTAGTGTTAGAGCTACTTAGGTTTTAATGTGTCTCCTTTGTATTTTTCATATATCTAAATTCAATGGATTTTATTTTTATGGTTGATTGCAATGAGCAGATGTTAGACTGGAATTTGGCATTTTTATCCATCAAATTCTTCCCAAAGACCTGAGAGGCAGATGTTTTTTTATGGTATTAAGGTTATCATTGCAAGATGCAGGCTGCTCCAAGTAAAGCTGCAATTGACTGATGGTAATTATATGGCAAAGTAACATATCCCAATCATCATCTGTAAGATTTCAGGGTTCACCAGCTTCTAAAAGGAAGTTATCAAGTTGATCAGCCTAAATTTTAGGGAGGGCCATTCTAAAGCATAATGCCATTGTGAAAAATGCATATTAAGTTATTAATTAAGTAATTATTATAGGAAAATAAACAGAAGTAACCACATTCCAGCATTGACAAAGCCGGCTATAAATAATAGCAGGAAGCATTGTTTATGTTAAGTTTATATGTATACTTAAAAACATACAGATTTCTGAACATGATTTTATGTCTTTATATTCTTAATGACAGAGATAATGTACCTAAGAAGCAATATCTGTGTTCCGCTTTGAAGCAAGCCAGTTCTTCTTATCTGAAAAAAAAAAAAAAAATAACAAAAGCAAAACTAAAATCATAAAAGGTTTGATAAAGCAAATTAATTTCTCAAAGCTTGGTGCAATCCGCATATTTTACATAATACCGTAGTTCCCATGAGCACTAGTGAGCTTAGCCAATGTCACTGATTATGCTCTTCCAGAACCAGGGAAAATAATACTGTATAATGTTTCTAGGCTATAAGCCAAATTGCAATTGTCAGTTTATTTGTGAAAAATGTACATGTACATAAAACTTAGTTTATTGTAGCCTCGATTATTAAAGTATGCTATTGTTTAACATCTAAAATATTTTTGAGTGATTAGGGAAGCTGCTCAAGAGGTGGATGGTAAACTTCAGCTCTTCAAAGAGAATCGGAGGAGAAAAAAAGAAAGGAAAGGGAAAAAGCGCCAGAAGAAAGGAGATGAATGCAGCCTTCCTGGACTCACTTGCTTTACTCATGACAACAATCACTGGCAGACTGCACCATTCTGGAACTGTGAGAACCACTTCCAGTAGATGCATGCTCATGGGAATAAGAATTGATGTGAGGGAGTTGGAGGGCATATTTGTTCTGGATCTCATATGGAGAGGAGAGGAAAAGACAATAAGCTCATTAAAAATGGGTATGTTAATTCAAACTAGAATTGCGTTTAGAGCTGAAATGACTAGATTTAATTTACAGATTTCTGAGTGAAAACAGTTTCAAAGTAAATGAAATCCAGAGATCTTGTGTGACCCAGTAGGAGCATAAAGATTTGCTTGGTGGTGGTGGGCAAAAGAGACAGCAACATATGTGACAGTGCTAGGAAACCTAGCAGTACCCGTTTCTATTTAGTGATGTATTTGGATGAGGTCTCATAGGCAAACAGGGCCAATCCATTGTTCAGTTTAAGAAATCCAAAGCTTGAACTCATCCAGTGGTAGACTGTCTAGGCTCTGCTTTGAAGAACACCCAGGAGAGAAAGTTCTCCCGGTAGCTAATTCAAATTCCAAACTGCTCTTATCATCAGGAGATTGTTTTTCTAACATTACAAGATGGGTTGCAGAAATGTTTTTGTGAACTTGTAAAAGCTGTATGTGTACTTTGTACAAGCATTGTCCACTAATATGCAGTATCATTGCATGAAGCATGTGATATGCTTATGGAATTATCAATGGATTCCCCTTGCTCAAGTGAAGTGAATACACGTATGTTTAAATTCATTTTTCCCCTATAACAGTGGGATCGTTTTGTGCTTGTACAAGTTCCAACAACAACACTTACTGGTGTTTGCGAACAGTAAATGAAACGCACAACTTCCTCTTCTGTGAATTTGCTACAGGATTTTTGGAGTATTTTGATATGAATTCTGATCCGTATCAGGTAAATATATGTTAAAAATGATACAGTTGTCGGAAACTACCTTAGTGTAAGCCACTATTAATACATTCCAATTATATCTCATTTTATGTCTTGATGAAACTCAGAATAATGTAAGCTGGTCTCCCCAAACTTTCACATCCAAGTTTTGATCCAAGCATACAGTCATGTATATTTTGCATCTCTCTTACTACATGATATATGTGGCACTGAGAAAGTATTACAAGTAGTACTTGCCTTACAACCAGTTGTTTAATGACTGTTCAAAGTTATGGCAGACCTCCCTGGATATAACCCAGTTCCAAAGTTATGAGAGCTCACACACACACACACACACACACACACACACACACACATACACACACACATGTTGAGTATGCTACATTTACAGCTTTTTGCTCCTGTGGTTACATAACTGCCTTTTATGATGATTTTGCCAAAAACTGGCATTTACTTCCACTTTTTGGCAAATACAGCCCCTTGATTCATGTAATGACCACTGCAAAAAAGATCAGATTGGTCATGTGGGTGACCTGATTTACAACCATCACAACTTATCATCATCAGAGGTAGATTGCACCACAGTTGTAAATCAAGAATTATTTCTGGATCCTTGCATATGTGTTCCAAAGAAATGTGAGAAGTAGTTTATACTTGTTGAAAGTCCATGTGCATAGGCATAATCATTTAAAGTTCACATCTTTTGCAGATGCAAGCATTCATTTATTTCTTTCCATGCTCAGCTAACAAATTCAGTACATACGGTAGAAAGAGGCATTTTGAACCAGCTACACCTTCGGCTAATGGAGTTACGAAGTTGTCAAGGTTATAAGCAGTGCAATCCAAGACCTAAGGGACTTGACACAGGTAACAACCCATGGTTTAAAAACTGGAACATTGTGTTTTGTTGCCCCTAATTATTCCAAGGAGCAGCTCCATGGTTCCTGACAAGGACTTTTAGGTAAGGACTTACAAGCTCAAGAAAATAATGCATTTCACTGAACATATGAATGATACATAACATTGAAATAATTATTTTTATTTTTATTTATTTGTATCCCACCTTTATTGTTTTTATAAATAACCCAAGATGACAAACATATCTAATATTTCTTTCTCCTATTTTCCCCACAACTACCCTGTGAGGTGGGTTGGACTGAGAGACAGTGATTGGCTCAATCATCTAAAGCAGGGGTGTCAAACTCACAATGTCACGTGATGTGTTATGACGTAGCATGACTTTTTTTCCATTGGCGGCAATGGGGTGGGCACAGTTTCACATGAGGCATCCGGCCCGTGGGCCGACAGTTTGACAGTCCTTATCTAAGGAGTAGAAAAACCTGCAATTTCCTTATTATAGATTTGTTTTACCTTATAACAGAGTGGCATTTTTTTGTCAGTGCAAGTGAAAAAAGCTAGGATAGATTAAGAAATCACTCCTACCTTATACAATAATTATCCATTATCAATGAATTAGGCTAGATTATTTTCTCCCAAAAATCCACTGGGAAATTGAAATAAGACTATGATAAAATGAAAATAAATGACTACACAGGTCATCTGTTTTTATCTTACAAATAAGCAAGTCTTAAGATGGTTAGATTATGAAATCTTAATATGTGTCCCTTAATGTTAGTCTGATGCTGCATATTCTCTGAATTGTCATTGTCTCTTTAGCTCAGTGTTTCTAACCTTGACAATGTTAAGGCATGTGGACTTCAACTCCCAGAATTCCACAGCCAGCAATGCTGGCTGTGGAATTCTGGGAGTTGAAGTCCACATGCCTTAACATTGTCAAGGTTGAGAAACACTGCAGCTGGTTTTAGAGCTTTCTGGTGAATAGGCAATCTACTGGAGATGGACAGAGCCTGAAACTTGCCTCTTTTTACACATCTTAAAGCAATAGCAACCCAAACTTGCCAATAGGAGAAAGGAATTTGAATTGGCATCAGCCTTGCACAACATCATCAACTCCTATTACAGATGTGCATAGCTAAGTCAGCTCTCACTTCCTCCCAAAACGGCAAGATGTCCATTCTTTTATCATCTATAATATAATTAGAAATCATGGATTTGTTCCTTGGAGATTTATACGGTTTCATTTCTTTTACCAATAAACATTTCCCTTTTCTTGTAACTTAATCATCTTTTTGTCCTGTTTTAGTTATTTCAGAACATATCTTACTCAGGTATCTTTGTTGAACTGCTTCTTTACTTGATTATAACCCCATAAAATTAAGATTAGGAATTAGATGCTGTGCATGGAAAGCTACATTGTGAATGATTTTACCAAATCTAAACACTAACAAAAGTTACTCTTGTATTTTCCTATGTCAGGAAATAAAGATGGAGGAAGCTATGATCCACACAGGTATCCACACTTTTTTATTCTCCTCAGCAGCTTCTTTCCAAATAATTGCATGACCTGGTCCATTTCAACTAATGCCTCTACTATGCCTGCTGCGCATCACATAGCTTTTGCTGCATGCAAGCACTAATGCTGTTCCATCAAGCCACTGTGTTTACATTTTCACATTACATTTAATATATTTACATCAAAATTTCATTTTATTTTACTCCACATTAGGAAATTCACTCTCATCCTCATACTTAAACAGAGGAAGAGAGAGAAGATATAGTGCAGAAAGAATGCTCAGCCATTTATTCACCAATCCACACCCACCTGTCTTTCCATCTAGAACATCTACATATCACTCTTTGTGGGGCATCAGACATCTCCATGTGTTAAGGGAACCTGGAATGAAGAATACATTCTTGTACTGTTTTACGTACTGTAGGTCATGATGTCCTAAAGAGGGTGCTTAAATATGTATACCTTTGCACACCAAAACAAATTCAATTGCACTTATAGTATAGATGTTCATATATTTGAGTTTATATTGGATACTTGTTCACTTTTTCTCTATAGAACTTGATTTTTTATAAAACTGATGGGTATCTGGTCCATAAGACACTTATGTACATTTCCCAAATAAAATGCCAAAAAGTGTTATGTATTTCTGCACCAGTAAAATTGATGTTATAAAACTGTTGAAGTTAAGCCAATGTGGACTGGATCAGCACCCAGATGATATGAAATTCTGTGAGATAATAATTATTAAATGCATTTTAAAAGAAGGGTAACTCTTAGGATTATTGGATTGTTTTGCAAAACTTCAGTAAGAGGTTGGGCTTTGCTACATATTTAGAATCAAATAGAAAATAATTATTTACATTGTGCACTTTTGGGATTTACAAGCTTCCTTCTGCTTAGTTTCTCAAGGATTGTTACTCTGTCAAACTGCTTCAAGTTGCCTCTGCTTAGTACTTGGTGGCAACAATTAGCAGTCTTTACACACTTCCAATTGATAGCTCAGTGACTACCTTCACCACACATTAGATTGCCTCAGGCTAAGCCAGAGGTGGTTGTAGGCCAGTGTTAGTCCTCAACTTGTATTCAGATCAAACTAAGGCACAATTTTAATCAATAAGTAACTAAAACAAGCAACTGTTTATTCACCAAAGTGTCTATTATCATTTAAAATAAAAAACAAGTCAGCTTCTTGGTCAATTAGTCATGAATTGGGAAGTGAATGATAGAAATGTTGGAATTGTCTTGTCTTCCCTGATAAGACAGGAAATGTTGTTGAAAACAAAGGAATTAGCATTAAGCCATGTAAATGTTCTAGAATTAGCACTGAAGATCAATTGGGGCTTGAGAGAGCTGTTCGCCTGGTGAATTCAACCTGTTTACAACACAGAAACAAAGCTTTTCTGCCCTCTGCCCTCAGTTATCTCTTTTCCTTTCTACATAGTTTGTCTCCCCTTGTCTCTTTCCTTCCCTTTCCATGTACAGTTACACTTTCCAGTCATCCTATCTCCATTCCCTTTTCTTTGTTGAGGTTTCTTTTAGAAGAAGGAGCATGTGTGCTCCTCTGTGTGAGAGACGTATTTGTGAGAAAATGATTGATATATGCCGATGGGCTTCATTTAAGTTTGCAAATGGTGCACCTTTGTTTATAAGTGCTTAATTGTAATTATTTGTTATTCAATTAATGTACATTTTTTCTTTTTTGGATATGCCTTCTAGGATTTCTATGAACAGCACACCTATAAGCATACACATGCACAAGTGTGCTCCTCTTTTCAGTATTCTCTACAGGTTCAATGACCATTCAGCTCTATGAGGGTGCTGAATGAGGGGGACTTAGGATGGAACTTCAGAGTTCCAGCCATTGCAACATACCCATGGTCACCTAGTTGCGATTCCTGACATTCTCTGCCAGCTTCCCACAAACAAAATCAACAAGGACACCAGCAAAGAATCCAAAGTCATGAGCATGTGATGTCCTTGATTAATGATTTATGTAATCTTTGTTTAACAATGGCAACCTTGCCATCATTAACTGATGCAGTCACATGATTTCATGCTCTATAACCATGTCACTTAGTGATGGAGTTCCTGGTGCCAATTGCTATCATAACCTGGGGAGTACCTGTATTCAGAAAGAGTCCACAATGTTGATACACCAAACTATGTTACACCAAATTATTATCCTGAGTAACATAACATTTTCTGGAGTAATATTCTTCAAGTTGGCAATTTCTAGATATGTCGCAATGGCAACTTCCACCATGTACAGCTCTTACAAATGCAGAATCTCCTGGCTTAGACTTATGGAATTCTTGATCCATCTGGAAGATACTGAGTTTGGAAATATTACTCTAATATGGCTGAGGTTTACCATATTGTCTTATACCATTTTGACTTTTTTCACCTTTATTTTTTTAAATTTAATTCATTTTGAATTCTTTCTAATGTTTTCTCTAGTACCAGGTCCTTTCCTGGAGTAACTTCTTAGGTTCATCTTCTGACTTGCACTCTCTCTGTAAAGATTTGCTGTGTAATTGATATCACTAATACCAAAGCCATTTGGAACTATCTCATATTGCTGATGACTGATTATAGCAGGGCAACACTTTTTTTATGCACACAAGCCTCTGCCATTCTATCCAAAAACTTTCTTCTCTATATTTATTAAGAATATAAAATCTTAAGGTCATTAGCAGGCTGAGTATTTTAATCACTAATCAGTCAGACATCTAGGAAAGCCAGGTTTTCAGTGTAACAGCCTCTTATGTTGCTTCTTCGTAGGCACTGCATACGTACTGTAGCATATGTTCAGTAGCAAAGATTAAGATTACTGATTGACCTAAAAATGACTAGCTACAAATTAGCTCTATTTTAAAGTTGTTTCATACTATTCAGTATCAGACACCTGCACGTTACCATTTCTGCTTCTCTTTCCAATTCCCCAAATATTTGGGCATGCTGAGTCTTCACTGTACAAAATTTGCTTCCTTTTTGATAGGAAAGGCATTTGTCCACAGGTTTTGAGATTCTTGAAGCATGGTAAGCCCTTCCTTGCTGACTTCACTCTTGCTGTATAGTCCATATGTGCATCCATATTGGCAATTAGTGTCTATAATAAGTCCTCATCAGTCTCTAGTGATGTTACTTCCATGAGCACCCTAAGGAGTCCAGTGAGATTGGTAATGTTGCTATTGCCTATAAGGATATTTATGTGTTAAATGCCATTTGTTTTTCCATTTGTTGTTACACTCTAAAAAAAAATCTATAAAACAAATATACTCTTTACCCCTTTCAATTCCTGGCTGGAGATGAAAGCTTATGGAAAACAAAGGCAACTGGGCAACATGGATAGATCTTGAAGCGTCTTATTGCCCTCACAGAAGTATTTCTTTTTATATAACACAGCAATAAAACAACTCTTGGTATCAATTATTGTCCCTTGCATGAGAACTTTTCTGAAATTTTCAAATGTGTACTTTTGGTAGAAAAATGTCTGTTATATTTCTGTCTTAACCTATTTTCCTCCATATATATTCTAATATAGGTCCCATTATAGACAGTCATTGTAGCTCAATACTTTTGAAAGGTACAGGTTTAGAGAATGTGGTCATTTTTATTTTTCTGGATTTGGCATCAGTAGCTTTTCCAGTTTTGTGCAGAGAGGTTGGACAGGTTTAACGCAAATTAAGTTACTATAACTGAGAAATATTATAAAGACAAGCAAGAATTAGCTTAACTCTTATCTGCAATGTAAAGGTAAAAGGATTTACATACTGTAGAAGTGTACAACAGCACTTACTCTTAAGTGATTCTTCTACAGCATTTAATTTTTTTAATGTTTCTGTTTTAAACTAAAAAAGTTAAGCTGAGTCTTGCTTTGTCTTGATATACTGTATCTACATTTCCAAGGAAAAGAGAAATTCTCTTGGTCACTAGGTATCTGCAGGACCACCAACAAAATTAAACTCATCTCAGAAGATTCTCCCGACAGAAGTTCTTTATGGTGCCCCAATTTCAGGAGGTGCTGCAGGAAAAAAAAATATTTTCAGAAGATTCACAAATTTATTTATTGCTTATTTACTACTATTGTTTTTTGTTATAAATCACAGGGTGCTTTGCTTAAAGGTATAACTATTATACTATATTTGAGCATATTATTATAAACCCTATGTTCTGCAAAGATTTGGTAACATCAAATTAAAAGTACTCCCCAACAAAAGGAGTTTCCTTATGATCCTCTTGGATTTAATTAAGCCATGGAGAAATAATGAATATATGTGTATAATGAAAGACTATTTATACAAATGCTTTGGCTATCTCACAACTAAATGTCAATCACTATTACAGCAAGAAATCCATGTGAATGTTTCTGTAATGCTTTTCTTTTTGGGGAAGAATTGCTAAATTCACTTTCATCATATTGAATGAGACCTGCTATGAAAAAATGCAAGAGAATGCTGCTGCTTGGTATTAACCCACTCATGTCTCACTTGAGCTCCTTGGGTAAAATATTGATTACATATCCCCACCTAAAATTAAGAGATAGTATTTTCTCATTGCAACCAATATAGTAAAATTCTGAAAAAGAGATCATAGCATGTAAAGAATTTCCTATGTTGTGCTACTCAATTAAGATGGCAATTATTAAATATGACTGCAAAGATTAGATTGATATTTAATTCAAATCATTGGTTTTTCAGTTGGATCTATGAATCACTTTGAATCAGCAATCGAACTAGATACTCTTGAATCAATTTGGAAAATCAGATGGAAGCGCCAAATGGAACTGATTGACTTTTCAAATTAAATTATGATTTGAACCAAAGCCATTTGAATCAGATCTGAGCTAAGCTACACATGTCTGATATCCAATATTACAAGATGTTACTGTTTCCTTTTTTTTTTTCTTTTGACAGAGGGCACTTATGGCATGGATGGGAAGGCTAAGTTCCCAAATTTTACAGAAAGTATCAACTGGCAAGGACTGGAAGATTTGTACAGTGTGAATGAAAGTTTATATGAAGCCAGACACAATTACAGCATTAATTCTGATGACTGGAGAAATTACTTGAAGGATGTAGATAGAATCTTTGCACTGCTGAACAGTTACTCTAAGCAAAATCAAAGAGCAGAGACTCCCACTGTTAATAACAGTGAAAACTTGGATGAATCATCCACATCATTTTCCTTGCTGGGAATGAGCTCTGCTGAAACAGATGAAGCTTCGAGTGGGTTCACAACCCTAGAGGCTCAACCTATCTTCCCAACATATTATGGAGACCTAACCTTGAGCACTGTAGTGTCAAGCAAGGATGGCAGACTTGAACTAAGCAATGATATTCCTGCAAAAAGGAGTACAAATGGTCACCAAGCCAAAACATGGCTAAAGATTGAAGAGCCAGTTAATTCAGAAATGGATTTTAGTGGGAACGATTTAACAGAACTGGAGTCCAGACACAGCTTCATCTTGCAACCAATTAACATTATTCAGAAAGTCTCTATGACAGACAAAGATTTTGCACAGGGTATTTTTGAAGAGCAAGTCTACCTGCCCATGAACTCCGCTGCAAAAATAATCAGCTGGGCTTTAAACACATTTGTTCTGAAACATAAAACTGAAATGTTGAGAAAAAGGGAAAGTTTTCAGAAATCTTCAGAGTTTCTGAATGAAGAAGGCAGTGCTTCAAATCCACTCCCCTCAAATTAGCCTGTGTTAGCAAGTCAGGCACTATTAATTAGGTGGCAAATGGAACAACCATTTTATAGCAAAATTCCATAGTTTGTATTTTATATACATATTCTTGTCAATGTGGCTGCAGCTACTAGAATCCGAGAATTAAAAAGGCACCATTGTGACTTTTTTTTAGCAGAGCTCTATTTTTTAAAGTAGTGTAAATGCACCTTCAAAGGAAATGAGCTCATTTTTTGTTCTCATAACAAATATTCTTATCCAATGTTTGAGTAATTTTTATTAATTTGAAGCATTGAAATTTCATATTGTCAAAGTAAACTTACATGCCCTTTTGTAATCTTCGTGCGATAGTCTTTATTAATCTGACTCGTCTACATGTTCTTAGTTTTGCTAATACAATGTAATTTGCAAAACAATAAAAGAAGTTGATAGAGAATGCATTATGTACATGGATTGTAAAAAGCAATTACTTGTATACTGAGCAGATTTTCACGTTTGATTTAAAACAGTTATGTTCAAATTGATTCATAGAAATGTTTTTTCTTAGATATAACAAACAGAAAACTTAACAGAAAGTTAAAGTGAGTTAATTTTCCAATAAATAGGAACTAAATTGTAATTAAGATTTTTATTTTTTCAGGAAAATTCGATTTTTACTTTGCAAAAGGTCTTAATGTATTCACAGCTGTTCTAATCATTTTAGAATAAAATCCAGTCCAAAGAAAGGTTCTATATATAAATATGCTATATATTATATTGCATCTTGGCACACTTGCAGATGTGCAACACATACCCTTTTTTAAACACAATTTAAGTTGTGACAGCACAATTGCATTGTCGTATCTGTATGCAGCCATACAGAATACTGGATTGTAGGTATACCTTTTAAAACAGCAAGGAGTAATGTTATGTACAAAACAACTTATCCACTCTTCCCCAGAATCAAGTGCAGGCACGCAACTTGGGTGTCCTCCTGGACTCACAGCTAAATCTGGAACATCGATCGGCTGTGGCCAGGGGGACCTTTGCACAGGTTCGCCTAGTGCACCAGTTGCGGCCTTATTTGGACCGGGAAGCTTTACTCACAGTCACTCATGCCCTTGTCACCTCAAGACTGGATTACTGTAACGCGCTCTACATGGGGCTACCCTTGAAGAGCGTTCGGAGGCTGCAGTTGGTTCAGAACGCAGCCGCGAGAGCGATTGTGGGCGCGCCAAGGTGCGCCCACGTGTCACCTATCCTCCGCGAGCTGCACTGGCTTCCTGTGGGTCTCCGGACGCAATTCAAGGTGTTGGTTATCACCTTTAAAGCCCTTCATGGCATAGGGCCAGGTTACTTACAGGACCGCATTCTGCCGCACAGCTCCCAGAGACTGGTGAGGTCCCATAGATTGGGCCTCCTTCAGGTCCCGTCGGCCAGACAATGTCGGCTGGCGGGCCCTCGGGGAAGGGCCTTTTCTGTGGTGGCTCCGACCTGGTGGAATCAACTTCCCCCTGAGGTTCAAACTACTCCCACCCTGCCGGCCTTTAAGAAGGCCGTTAAAACCCTCCTGTTCCGGCAGGCCTGGGGCTGATGTCCCCGGGGGGCCGGGATATGATCGGACTCGCGATATGACTGCTTTATTTTATTGTTTTATCATTGTTTTAACTTTGTACGCCGCCCTGAGCCCTTTGGGATTGGGCGGCATATAAACACTGAAAAATAAATAAATAAATAAATAAGGAAAAGAATGCTTCCCACAGAATTATCAGTGAAGTTTGCATATGTTGGTTTAATAAAGTGCTTTAGACTATAGTATCTGAACAGGGGAAAATAGATACAGTCATCTGGAATTGTATGAAGGTAAAGATTGTTCCTAAAATGTGGGGTCTGGAGATTTTTTCCCCCGGTTGGGAGGGAACCCAAACAAACAAACACAAAAAAACCTCTAAACCTTCAGAATAAAGATTAATTCTTAGTTTTCTTAGTTACAAGATTTGCAGAAAGTGACATTTTAGAAATCATTTATAGAAATAAGGTTGACATAGAATTGTTTGTTTCAATCATGAAATACCAGATAAATATTTCATGTTATTAATAGATTAAATACACGCAAACGTACCCACCACACTGTTTCCTTTTGCAATAAGAGCATACAAAGTTCATAAAGGAGCAACAGTAAACCAATGAAATTAAAATCCTAATATAGAGGAAGATAGCTAAGTGTAGTTTATATACCAACACCATTCACAATTTATTTTTCCAGTAAATCCATATGCGGCATCCCATACTGACTTTTGGTTTTTAAAATTCTCACATTCTCTTTTGGAAGAGCTCAACTCCAGTAATGATCTCAGCCTCCTATTTCCTTTCAACCCATTCACTCTTCCTTTATAACTCTCTTTTGCAATTTAATTCTCATTAATTTGCCCTATATGGCCAAATTCCAATGTTGTTCCAGGTTGTTTGCTCATATTTCAGCATTCATTCCACATTCAGAGTATTCGTTTTTGACCTTTTCTTTCATTCTTTTTCCTCACATTTTTGCAGTAGTCAGTTCCCAATTTCAACTTACCATTTGGTTTAATGTCTATGGAATTTCTCAGTCATCCAGGTTATGTTGTCCTAAATGTGCTTTTTCAAAAGGCAACTGGACTTTGTTTTTCTTTTAATATGTTTCGCTTCTCATCCAAGAAGCTTCTTCATCTTCTTGGATGAGAAATGAAATGTCTTCAAAGAAAAACAAAATCCAGTTGCCTTTTGAAAAAGCACTTTTGGGGTTACCATTTGGTTACTCTTAGTTTTTCTTATTTCCAAATAATCTGGGTACAAGCACATTCTCATATACAGCCATTTTTGCTTCTTCAAACATTCATTCCACACAGCATATATTTTCTAGTAGCATCCGCACATCTTAAAATAGCTCCATTTTTTAATACACATTTTACCAAGGTATACAAATTAATCGACTTGCTCTTTTGCCATTTATATAGAAACTTGTAATTTCCTCTGTCAAACCCAATTGCCTTGATATTTATGTATTAATGTTCAATTCTGTGCTCCTTGTATTAGTTTATATAACATTTACTTATTGTTTGAAGGCATTTCAGTAATTTTTATGAAAAGCTTTTGGTGGATTCTGTAAACATGAGTATCATTTACATGTCTCAAACTGAACAAATTTATTTAAGGATGTGAATGATAGAGTTTTATATATATGTTCATTAGATTACACACTGTTCATGTAAGAATTTTTTGAATACTTTTATAGAACAATTCTGACTTCAGGAAAGTCTAGAAGCAATAATTCTTCAAATAAAGAGTTTCTGTACCTGTTTTATAGAAATCAGTCAAGTAAAATTTACATAAAGGTATTAAATTATTTTAATTCAGTGTATTAACTTATAATCTAATAAGAAATGTTTTACCATGTAATATTTTGCAGTTACTTGAATTAAAATAACGATCCAAGCCTCAGATACAAATTGTAGACATGAACAGTTGGGAGCAATGGTTGCATAAACAATAGAAAATAATGGAAACAATAATTTTAAGTATAAATAATGTCTTCTAAATTACAGTGGTACCTCAGTACTTGACGTCAATTGGTTCCAAGAGGCACTACAAGTACTAAAAATTACAAGTGCTAAACAAACCACGTGACCCTTTGTTTTGGCCAGGAAGAACTTTGTCCTTTTTCCTATATCAGTAACCTTCCCAGGATGGCCGACTTCCAGTCTGCCCTCTGTGGCCATCCTCCTTTTCCTTTTCAGTGCACTGAATACCAAAGAAGCAATGAGAACCAGCACAACATTTTCGTATCAAAATGTTCGAGCACCAAATTGATGACTTTTGAAGCAGTCTACTACTGTACTGTAAATCCTTCTGCTTCACTGCAGCAATGTGGTATTTTTTTAGTTAGTTTTCAAGTTGTTTTTAAATTTGATAGATAAAATATTAACAGCTATAAACTGAAAGGAGCTTCATCCAGAACTTCCCTAAAAACCAGAGAAAAAGGCAGGAGTTACTATGGTTTCTAATTTGTCCACAGGAAAATACACCATTTCCATCCCATGTCTCTAAATGCATGCAAAGCCAAAACTGAGAAGTTAGCAACAGACAATAGGTGCCAGCTATGCAAAACAGCTGAAGAAACAGTAAGCTGTGGCAAAAAGATTGCACAGATGGACTACAAGCAACGGCATGACAAAATAGCTGGAAAATCTGCAAGAAATATCATAAAATAGAGAAAGTCACAGAAAATGAAGATGCTGTGGGACTTTAGAATTCAAACAAACAGGCATCTAACACACAACGCCCCAGACTTAACAATGTCAATAAAAAAGACAAAATGTCTGGATAGTGGATGTACCTGGTGGCAGAAGAAGAGAAGAGAAAGAACTGGAGAAGATAACAAAATACAAAGATGTACAAATAGAAATAGAACAACTATGGCAAAAGCAAGCAAAGGGTGCAATCCCAAAATATCTGCACCACTTGAAAATCATCAATATTGACAAATTTGTCATCAATCAATTGCAAAAGACCACTTTACTTGGAACAGCTTCCATCCTGTGACAATATCTGTAATACCATCAAACATCCAGATCTGCCTATTCTAAGTCCTTGGAAAGAACTTAATAGCTAGACAGAAATGCCAAACCCAGTGTGAACATCTGGCTCACTGTGAAGCAAATCATAATAATAATCAGAAAAAATGTGAAAATTGAAGACCCCAAAACAAGAGTAGAATAAACTCAGTTAACAATTACAAATATAAAGGAAAAGCTGATATGATCTATAGAAATAACTTAGAAATAGTAACAGAACACTACAGGCCACCCTAACCCGTGAATTGATTACCCATTACCAAGAAGAATTAAAAGAAAAAATTATGGCATATGCAGAAAACAGTAGAAAGACAATACTGCCAGCAATGGTAGTGCCTAAAAAAGACTTGACACCTATAATGAAGGATGTAAATAAGGCACTTGTAACAATTAACATTTATCAACAGACCAATCAGTTTCGCTACAGTAGAACAGTGGTGGTTCCAGAAGAACTGGGTACTGAAATTAAAAATCAAATGCAAAATCATATTCAATCCCCAAAGTAGAACAAGTAATTTTAAAAAGAGCAAACATTGAAGCATGTAAAGATTGAGACAAGCCTAATAAAAAAAATACTGACTTAGTACTATTAAAGCTGAAGAAGGTTTGGAAATCATAGATCAACAAATAACAGCAATAGCTGGAAAAATTGAGCACTATGAGATGCGAATCATTCCATTTAAGCACTATTGGTTATTTCAATCAACCAAAGATGATTCTTCCAAAGTATAAATGGCAACAGAAATGCTGAAAATGGAAAACCAAACAAAAAGGAAAATTTTGGAAAGATTTAGAAGAAACTCAAAAAGACTAATAACAACATAAATGATTAAAAACTGAATGAAAAGGATTAAACCATCTCCTGAAAATGATCCCTTGCATGGTTTTTGATTAAAATATCTGACCAATTTACACACAATTATACCTAAGAGCTTAATGAAATATTGCATAAATAAACATTGCATTAGTGATTAATTAATAAGTGGCAAAAATGTATCAGATACAAAAGGACCCAACAACATAATGCAGTTGCCAAAATGATTCACTAGATCATCCATTAAAATTAACATGTGGCATAATGAAAAATTGATGAGAACATAAAGTTGGAAAAGTAATCAAAATGGGCAGGATAAAATATTGTGAGAGTTCAGAAGACAAATTGATAAAATCTTGGCTCATAACACACCAGATTTAACTGTGATTGAAAAGAAGAAAGTGTGGATAATTGATGTGGTAATACCAGGGGATAGAATAGAGGCAAACAATTGGAGGAGACATAGTATCAAAATCTGAAAATTAAAACTGAAAAGTTATGGCATAAACCAGTGATTCCATCTATTCAATTACCACAGGCCACACTGCTTTGATTTCCACATATTTACACTGATACATTAAAACATCCTAAAGTTCTTAGAAAGAACTCAATGCGTATGAAAACCAGTATCAGCTAAAGAACTGGCAGCCTTGATTTCATTTTTCTGTATACAAGACAATGGAATAGAAGAGAAAGAATGGGGGGGGTTCATAAAACATAAAAGACCTGAAAATAGAAGTAGAAAGACTATTTAAATAGAAGTAGAAAGACTATTTAAAAAAATAAAGGTAGTACCAATAGTAATATGTATCTTGGTACTATCTTGGTAACATCGCACCACCTGAACACCAGAGGCATTGACAAAATCACTATCAGTCAATTGCAAAAGGCAGCTTTACTTGGAACAACTCGCATCCTGTGATAATACCTTTAATATGAAAAATTTGCCCATCCCAGGTTCTTGAGAAATACACAATAGCTGGTTAAAAAAATGTCAAAGCTAATACAGTTGAAGAAGAAAAGAAGAGTACCTTTTGAACATGAAATCAACAACCTAAAACTTTTCAGGAGTTTGTTGCTGTTAAACAGTAAAGTAAAATCACACTCCACTCAGCTGGTATAAAATTACTGTTCATAAATGTCCATTGGATGTCACTACCACGCCACATAATAGCTTGCATTAATGATGATGAATATTGGTTGGGATTCTTAAATTATAAATACTGCCTTTGTCAACTAATACCTTTAAAAACAGATAAATAGATTTGGAGTTGAGATAATATAAAATGAAAATAAGCCCATATTAAAATTGGCATTAAATTTTATATTATGTGACATTACAGATCATGAATAAATATAACTGGTAGATTAAAAGAGGCAATTTGGCAATTAGCTAATTATGAAAAACAGATGCAATTGAGCTAAGCAGCAACCACATACTAAATGAGGTAGTAGCATTGTATTCATATTCACTGCATTGATTCCTGCAGCAAAACTATTTTAGATTACAGCGGATTCTTCTACTGTCCCACTCCCCAAAAGTATACTGTAAGTGTGGAGTAGTACAATAAGATGTGACATAAAACACCACAAAGTTAAGTCATTTTTATTTCAAAATGCCAAGTACTAAAGGTTCATTTGCAAACAGCTATTTACACATATTGTCCATAAAATTTTACACATGCTTGTACATAAGAGTTTGAAAACTGGTTTTTGTTCCACTGAGAGATAAATACTAGTTCAAATCTTTATTAAAAAAAATAACATTCCACAAATCTCCATTTTTTTACACATGCAAGTCATAGTTTCCTAACTGACACACTTAAAAACATTTATCAAAACTTAACATTTTAACTAGTCTGCCCCTTGATTAATAGTATTTCCCTCTTTCAGGTATAGTAGGATTAAAACAAAATATAATATACAACATACTGCTGTTTTCCTGAAATCAATGGAAAAAATATACAATCTTGTCTATTTATTAATGGGGGAGTGTGTGAAGTATAAAAAAGTAATGATTCAAAATTGCATATTTAAAAATATTAAGTTCAACCCTGGATTCTTTTTGAACAGCTTTTTTTTTTTTTTAGATTCTTCAGCATACAGTGTATTTTAACTACACATGGTTTTGGCTAACAGTTCTGTTCTGAAAGTTTATTTTTAAGTTCAAAAATCAAAGGTCACAATTCTTTTGTTTTTACCACCAGTTCAATATTAACCAAATGACTGAGAGGGGCAGTAATTTGGGAGTAATCAAGGATCATCTATTGTACATTTTGTGTTCATTCAACCTTGTGTTCAAGGTTTCAGACTATGGTAACGGTACCATAGTCTGAAACCTTCCCTCCTAAGCTGCTCCTCAGCTGCACCAAATTTTAATTCCTAGACTTCCACACCACTATAGCTAAAAGTAAAGCAATTAGCAAGCTTGGCAGGACACCAGATCATCAAGGCTTTGGCTATCGCTATGCTCTGCCAGAAAATTGTTTCCAGATTCAACAATTAAAGATATCTAGTTAGCTAACGATAACCAATTCTTTTAGTTAAAATATTTAAACTAGTTCAAAGTTGTGTTACTTCATGAAAATTTATGGAGCAAGAGTATATTGCAGACTTACCATTAAGCTGATAGTCCTGCAAAGTAAGCACCTGAGCAGCTATTTGAAATATTTTTCAGCCTCATGAGGGAATTCTTTTATCCCATTAGCACCAGTTGATCAGTTCCAAGCTGATTATTTACATTAGAGGACCAATATACATTTTCTGGTAGACAATACTTTAAAAGAAAACTTTGGGATAGCTGCCCAATGCTAATCTAGGGTGCTCTCCATTTTATGACTACATTGCAGAAAAAAAGAACAGTACCAATTTTTAAATGACATAATGAACTGATATGTATAGTCAGAAGCTCCATTCAAAAGTTTGCCAGAATACATGGTGAGCTCAAAACTCGGCCCACCTGTTTCCTATCTCCATAGATGCAGAAAGCAAATCTGAAAGGGAGCTATACTCACATTTGCTATGATAGGAGTAAAGTTGTCAGTGCAAATTAAAACCTTACATTACACTAAGGTACATTTAGAGAGTTGTACTTCCATTTAAGCAAATATGAGCACTGATCCCCTTCAGGCTGAAATGGTTCTCTTTCCTCTCTTTTGAGTTCTCTCTTTACATTCTCTTGGTAGACTACAATTAGCCAACAAATTGGATACACTTTCTACTTCCAAATTTCAAGTATGCAATCAATACTGAATGAATAATGACACTTTTGAGGCAATGGTAGGTTTGCATAAATAATCTTAATACTATATTAATAAATATATGTTAGTATTTATAGCAATCTACATCCATGTACATTATATATACATTGAAAGATTTAACACTTAATCTAGGATGGGACAAAGAGATAACGAAATTCTTTAGTTATATGTTGAAGTATTACATTGGTGCATGCTCTCTAGTTTCTCTTCCACAGCTTAAAAAAAATAATACCGAAATTAGGAAACATAGAGCATGGCTAACCTATTGCTCTTTTAAGTTACTGCAGTGACAAAATAAAAGTACATGGACATGCACAGTACTTGGAAGATGTATGTCTGAGACACAGCAACTGGCCATTCAACCAGCAAGCTAACACTATACATGTTCAATACATGGCATCAGAATGCAACGTCATTCATAGGCTTAGTTCAGATAGGCTGATGCTTTCAAATATTTAGAACACAACCTGATAAATATAAGGTGTCTTCCCACTCTTCAAATTCCTCCATCAATTATTCCCTAACCTCATTTTTCTTCAATATATATCCTAACATAAACCCTATGCACATTCTACAGGTCCTTAGCAACTAAGCTTTGATTGCTTATTCATTGCCATATGAACTATTTCACTTTTTTTTTACATCCCCTGCTAATAGGCATTTCCTCTCAATGGATTACCACTCTAAAGATTATTTGAGGGATGCAGAAGGAGTTGGGGCCTGACCATATTCTCATTTCAACTTTTTGACAGCTACATCTCAGAAGCCCCTTTTGAATTTATCCTAACATCAAATTGGTCCTGCCTAGGGAACTGCTCCTCACTGTGTGAATTAAGAGATCCTCTAATCTCAGAATCAGACAACAGAATACTGTAACAAAATATGTTAGATTCAAAAATAGCACAGTGCAATTGGATGAGACATAACACTTCCAAAAGAGATCCGAACAAGGCTTTTGTGACCTCTTGAGGAATATACCCGAGTATTGCCTATGAATCACACTCTTTTAAAGTGTATTAGCATATCTGTGCAATGGAAAGCTAACCTGTACTTTTGATTTTAGCAATATGTAAGCCTCAGAGGCATGATTTTTTCCTTAATGTTTTTTTAAAAAGATGAAATAATACTGGCAAATGCAAAAAGCAGTAATTTATTCTTGCCATTTGTCTCTTCAGAATTCCTCCTCCTCCTCCAAGAAGAAAAAGATAAGAGGGCTAACAATATGAAAAAAACAGTTGAAATGTATAATTTTGATGGCAGGATGGAAAATCAATAAGCATCGACTTACCTTGCAAATGTTCCACTCAAGCTGGTAGATCTTTTGCATTAAAAATCCTTAATGGCAGGATGAAAGAGCTGCACAACTGAATATTATATGTGTAGTTTCAGTCTCAGCTTCTCTAGATATTGGCATCTATAAACACACACCTTTTTGTCCCAGTAATGAAAAAGTGACAATCAGATCAGGATGCCCAAGATAATTTCCATTGCTGACAAAGAAATGTAGTAGGCTCCAATTGCTGAAATATAAGCAGGTCTGGACAAGCCTTTAATATGAAATGGATTCTTAAGGCTTGTAATTCTCCCTCATGAATCAGTAGGAATCTAAGAGTAGACAACTTGGCAAAGCAATCATTTGACTGTATCAGCATATGCTCAGATTGATATTTAGGGCATGTTGAGGTATATAAAGAGCAATCTGGGCCATGTGTCAGAACAAATAACCAGTGTACCATACCAGCAGAAGATTAGATACTAGAGTCATCTCAGTTTTCCACACAATCAAAGTTAGTTTCTGCATGCACAGAAACAAAATAATCTTAAATTTGGATTTGGTGGACTCAATAGGAAATCTGCAGCTGATTGTTGCTTCTTGCAAAAATATGCAAATACCAACCAGTAATTATTGATACGTTTGTTACGCTTTAACGTTATTACAAAATAGTATTGAAATCACTAAGTTATAAATTTGCAATAAAAATTAAAAATACACTTACATATTAAAATAAAACAAATTCTCAATAACTTGTCCTATTATTGATTTGTTTTAAGATTATTTGTTCTATCTCTTAAAATAAAATGTTTAATTGGAGATTTTATCACTTCAAATAGCCTCTTTTCCAAGTCAAGTGATTGACAATTTTGATTTAAAAATATACAGAACCAAACAAATTATCCAGTTCGCATTGCATAGCTAAGATAAGTTGTGCTTTGAAATAGAATTAAAAATAATTACTTGTTCTTCCCTAGTTCAAGACTCATGGGTGCATTATCTTCACTAGTGGCACACATTCCTATCTGAACCGATTTTCGCAAAGGAATCTATTAGCATTTGCCTGGAACATGCATCTTGAATAGACATACCTAAAGGGCTTGCAAACCTACTTTAACATTACAGTTTCCCAAAAGAAGAAAGTTGTTTGGAGGTAACCAGCCCTCAGATAAGCCATGGCTCTATGCATTAAGCTTAGTGGCAGATCTTGTTAGGAAAAAGAAGGCACAAGAGTTTCAAAAGGCCCCATACTTAATATGTACAAATAAATAATAATCTGAAGTTACTGAAGGGGCCCATCTATTTCAGGAGTGACTTCTTGTGAAGGCTTCTCAACTGACGTGGTTATTGCTTCTATTGTAAGGGGGCCGGGACAGGTTTGTGCTGTGTAATGTATTGTTGTTGTTAGATTGACATTGTTACCATGGTCACTTTGAGAGATAAACGTGGGGCAGGATCTAGTCCTTGCATAGTTTTGCTGAGCAACTTTGTTACACACTACTGCGCTCACAGTGCTGACAGGAGCATCTTCCCACAGCTGCCTTTGCTGCTTCTTTTCTTTATACTTAATGGTGTACCAGGCAAGGAAAATGAATAGGAAGCCAAAAAATTTGAGACCAGCTGCCAGACCAAAGTACACAAAACGAAATGATGTCACATCATATTCCCAACATGAGCCTTGCACACCACATTCCTGTTGCCACAGCATGCAGGTAGTATCAATGACGGCACCAAAATAAATTGGGGTAGGAATGTATGCTGTAATAAAAAGGGAAAGTGAAATCAATCAACTATATCAAAACAGTTATTGAATATTTTTTGAGAAAGTACATAGCAAAGCCAAACCTATAATATTTCAATTTTTAAGCAATTTTGGCTAGGATATATATCACATTACATACAAACAGAATGAGACAGAATTCTCATAAGATGCTGATAAACTACTTGATTTAGAAGTGATGAGGAGAATATTAAATTTTATCTTTTTCCATTAGTACATTTTTATTTATTTTGAATTATATCCAATGGAGTGCTAGATACATCTCATACGACAGACAATTGTTGAATTTTTAAGAATTCTGTGAACTGGTTAAGAGAAGAGCAGAACCATGCTGCTTGTGTGCTGATCAACTGTTTGGAGACTCACTGAGTTGCACAGCAAAGCAATGGAGCCAGCAAAACTAGCTGATATCACCACAACATTAGACATAACTCATATAAATCTAAATAAGTACTACCTCATGGAGCTCAATCCAATACTAACACTCTTAAAATATTAGAATTTCAAATGTTAAAATAACTTTAAAGTATTAAAATATTAATAATACATTTTAAGTCAAATTTAATAGTTAAAGTTTTAGAGAATACCGAGGTAAACTGGTTGGTCATTGTCTATAAATCCAGAATAAGGCCCTACTTCAGGTTACTGGAAGTTTATTCCAAACAACAGCTACTAAATTACCTCAGCACTTAGTAGCTGTGCTTGATTTCATAGTGAGTACTATTGCTAGTATTCCCACCAACTTTGTGCCTGACCCTGACCCTTTTATGTAAACACATATTCAATTTTAGCTAACCGTAGCATTTGGTGCATAGGTTCTGTTATAAACAAATCAAGTTAAAATTAACAAAAGTGTTATCAAGAACACATGAGAATTCATGGTTACCCTCAAATGAAAGTGAACATTTATGGAGTTCTCCCCATGATTAGAGTAGAGAAATAGGGGAGGTGGAATGGCAATGTAGGCTTAAACCAGATCAGCAAGAGTGGATAACTGATACACCCACCCAGACACTGTAGAAGTACAAGGATGTGTGTGTGTGTGTGTGTGTGTGTGTGTGTGTGTGTGTGTGTGTTTAAAAAAACCTGAGAAGCAAAAAAAAACACCTCCAATAAAAAGCCTCTTTTAATTAAGACCCCATCAAAAGTGTCAGATCATATGCAGAGAAACTTTTTTTTAAGTGCTATTTTCAGTTGCCTTGACAATTTCTCTACCAATTCACATAATATTTCAATATAGTCAATTGAGGCACTAAATCTGCCTGTACACTTACCAAGAGTTCTTAATAAAACAAATTGCATGCCAAGGGCAAAAGGCCTCTCACCATTTTCCACAGACCTAAAAAAAGATACAGTAGATTTTAAATTCTTAACTGGGAAAATGGTAGGTATGACTACTTAACTGTTGCTATAACTCTTTTCCTTAGCCATATACCAGGAGAATGACCCAATTGCTAGCTAACAACCACACAGGAGACAGGTGTTCAATAGAATCAAATTCAGAAATTCAGAGAAACAAAAACTTTATCCAGGAAGCAAAGTGAGAAAATTTCCTTATATTTCTGATGACAAATAGATTCAGTCAAAATCTAGATTGACAAATAGATTTATTTTCTAAGTAAATTGTCTTCCCATTCTTCCTAGCATCCTGTAACCTACCCAATAACGAATACCCTCCCAGACATAAGTTACGCTCTCTGACTTCTACAATTATAAAACATGTTGATTCACATATTATGTATCATCAATTCAACAAAATGAAAAGATGAGTGAAATCAAATTTTGTAAATCCACCTATTTCTAGAAATAACTTAATTCATCATCAGAAAAGTAAAGGTGAATTATGTTTTGTGGAAGATGACAGAGAAATTGAGTTATAATAAAGAATGCTATCCTAGTAGACAGAAATGATCCAGGCAATTTCTCACCTGAGAGTTACTATGATTGCTGATGGTTGGGCACATGCTGTGATAAGTGTTACTATGAAGAGAAAAATGAGGAAAGGGATGAGTGTGTTGCAGGTTCTATCACACTTTCCTGATACAGCATAGCCGTTCTCATTGAGATATGTTTTGACGATCACCACTCTTAGCTGGCTACGCTGTCCAACTGTGGGTGGTGTGATAACTTGTCGGCTTTGGACACAGGCACAATCTGTATAATTTCTTATCTGTAAAAGATTTAAAAAGTGTAAAAAAAATCATGATTCCTTATTTGTATCTTTATCAAGAATATTTGCATCTGGTACATGTGTTTCAACTTATTTATGGCTCTAAGTAAAGCACAATACTGCCAAGAAAATTACAACAGATAAGAAGTACTCTTCATCTGAAGGCAGAATTTTATAGAGAAAAAATTGTAACAGTACTTCAAAATAACTGAACTGAATGTTTTAAAGGGAAGATTTAAGAAAGGCCTTCCTGGTCATAAAGTTAATAGTGTTTTTTTTTGGTTTTTTTTGCAAATAGCAACCTAAAAAGTGCAAAATTTTAAAAAGTATTCATTACCTAGTCTTAAGGAAGTTCACAGAAACAAGGAAAAAGGATACATTAAAGGAGAACACAGTATCAAAATTCTATGTCTAACAGTCCTGAGTTGGCTTTAGGCTAAGGCCAAATAGGTAAAACCAAAGGCACCAAAGGGTAGGGGCGCCAACACTTTCCCTCCTTCTGAATCATTGTAAAAATACAAATCTTTGCATTAGTGGAGAGGTGGCATTGGCTAGAGGTGGCACCGACTGCCGAAGTGGCCTAGGGGTACCAGTCCATGCACCGAAATGCTTAGAGAAATAATTAGGCTTTAAATATTTATAAAAAGGAAGGAGGACCGGGGAATTTTGTACCTCCACGAACAAAATCTCTACAGAATGGGCAACTCCCAAGAAGATATGTACTCCATTTACTTTATGCAGGAGAAGGATCATCCATAATTATAGATAAAAGAGTTACAGAAAACTTGATGAAATATTTCCATTCTTTCTAAAGGAAAAACTGTTGGTTTTAATAATTTAATTAAAAAATCTTCTGATTCTAGCAGGCAATCTGCTGAACATGCAGACCATAGTAGCCTTCATATTATTTATTAAATTTATTTGCCACCCATCTTGTTTCAAAGTGACTATGGGCGACTTACAGCACTAAAAGCATTAAAACTGTAAGACAAATATTTCTAAAATGATAAAAATGGACTTACAACCAAAAATAAAATTACAGTTAAGAGATGGGGAGGGAGGGAGCAGGAGGAGCAAGGGTGTGAGGTGGGATTATCTCTTAATTCATCAACCACCTCCAGTGTGATGCTCACCTGCTGGGGCCCCAAGCCATCTGGCAGAGCCAGGTCTTCAGGTCTTTACAGAAAGTCAGAAGGAAGATACCTATCTCTCCTCACAGGATAAGATGTTCTAAAGGACAAAAGCCACGGCAGAGAAGGCCCTTCTACAGGACCCTGCCAGCTGAAATTCCTTGATTGACAGGGCCCACAGCATGCCTGCTGTGCCAGTTCAGTATTGAAATTGCCATTTTATCGAACTATGCAAAAATAATCTCCACAGTTATCTTTATCGCACATGAGCAGAAGACAAGGAGAACCTAGGAATATTTGCAAGTCTTTCTAATTTTGAGGAGGGGACTTTTTTATGACGAGAAGTTTCCAATAGCACATGCTTTCTGAAACCTTCTCACACAAGAAAAAACTTTGACTACATAATCCATAGGAAGGTGGCAAGCCCGGGGCATATAAGAATTTTTTGTGGGATTTGCAAGGGACTAATCAATAGGGGATGATTATTGAACGACTATGACATTCAGGCCCTATATATACAACATATTTGCCCCATAACTGAACTCAGTGATCACCTTCTTGTAGTCTGGGCATGTACTCACAGGCAATGAAATTATAATGCATTTTAATAAAGTCAACTAATGTTATATGTGCCTGTGGGTTTTTGCCTTACCAGGAAACCATAACATTGGTGAATGTATACTATGCTCAAATGTATATCCTGAGATCTATGTCTCAGACCAAAAGACAGTAGATCTAACAGTAGGAGTAGCTGCATAAAAATTCTTGCACATGTCTCTGTCAGAAACATATAAATAAATAAAAACATCTAACAGCGGCAAATCACTATTGTATAACGATTATTTTGGCTACCCCACATATATGAATGCTTCATAATCTTTGATGTGTAAGATTTTTTTATATGCAGAACAGGCATTTTATTATAATGTTACTGTCTAGATTCTAGACTATTAAGAAAACAACTTTGTGATCTACAATACTGAAAACAGAAGTTATCTTTGGTGCATATGTTGCTTTTCTAACAGCAACAAAAGTTACCACTTTGATTGCTTGTAGACATACTCACTCCTGTGCTATAATTTCCACTGCTAATGCAACCAGCAAGACAAGGGTTAAAATATGTGATCCCATCTGATCCACACACAGGTTTGTATTCATGGGTTTTGCAGCCACAATTAACATTACAGCTTCCAGTCAGATTCCTATGTGCCATGGTGAGAGTAGGTCTAAAAAAAGGATGGGGGGATAGGTTATAATACCTATTCATTGCAGAAGAATCTTATATTTTCCAAAATACTTTTAAAGATACAAAGCAAGGTATATTTTTTAGGCAGACAGATCTACTAAGATGTGATGCTAGAGAAACACCAGAGTTCCTTGCATTAAGTCAAAATTCTATCTAATCACATTATAAATTTTAGTTTTCTAACATTGTAAAGTAGGAAATATATAAAAACTATAATGTTAGCCTAGATAGGTTAAGCCAGGGGTAGGCAACTTTGGCGCTTTTATAACTTGTGGACTTCAACTCCCAGAATTCCTGAGCCAGGAATTCTGGGAGTTGAAGTCCACGAGTTATAAAAGCGCCAAAGTTGCCTACCCCTGGGTTAAGCAATCCTTTTAAAAGAGAATCAGCCTGGTGGGATGGTAAGGCATTGGCCTAGAAGCCAGAGACTGTGAGTTTTAATCCTGCCTTAGGCATGAAAAACTGGCTATGTTACTTTGGGCTAGTCATCCTCTTTAACTTCCAACTCACCTCAGTTGTTACTGTGGAAAAATAGGAGGGAGTATTAATAAGTTTGTCACCTTGAGTTGTATATGCAAAAAGGGATAGGATAAAAGCCTTTAAAAGGGGGGACACCCTAATATCTTTAAAAAAAAAATCCTGACTCCTTCTATGTGTATGATGCCTCCTAATCACGTGGACTCTTCATTTTACCCATTAAAGCCCTGTCCTTTCACTGACCATTAAATTCAGCCCTGATCACTGTGATTTCACAGCCCTCCACTAAATACATACATAGACATATATAAACTCTAGACATATTGTCTGCTGATTATTGGAAGATCTCTATCATGCCTTTACATTTTATTTTTATACACTGTATAAATACTGGCATTTTATTAAAAAATAATGAATTACTTTATATCTACAACTTGATGGCTACAGCTATTTTGAATTATAATTCTCATCATCTTCAGCCAGCACAATCCGAACACAGTTGAAGAACTAGTTGAGGGGAGTTATCAATATGTCAAAACTTTTCTAAGCCCACTGCATGTTTCAGAATTCCCAAGATACTGCGTCCATCAAAGCCAGAATGCGCTCTGTCTTAGATCCATGGGGAAAGCACTGGAACCAGCAAGAAGCTACCCCACGGTCTCTGTCCTGCCCCCTGGGTGTGCGCACAGGAGACAACCAGTGAAGTCAGCCTGTGGGGCAAGACAGTCAGTAGGAATGCCGGACTCTGCTTGCACATACGCCCAGGGGGCAGAGCAGGGCTGCCCCGTGGAGCGCATTCTGGCTTTGATGGACACAACTAGGTAGTACATAGATCAGCGCCGCCACCCCTCCCACCAGCACCTCCAGCCTCGCAGCGAGGCTTTCCTTTCACCGGGACAGCCCACCCACCCACACGGGATAGCAAGACCAGCGGCAACATGGCAGCGCTGGCAATCTCTCCCCCTCCTATCACCCTTCCTGAGCGTGGAGGAAGGAAAGAGATGAGAAGGAGAGAAGGAAGGAAAAAAGTATAATGGAGAGGGAAGTTGGGGGAGATCGGTGCTGGCTGGGAAGCTTTGCTGGAGCTCTGCAGTGATTCACTTAACAAAAGTTTCACTTAGCAACATAAATTTTGGGCTCAATTGTGGTCGTAAGTCAAGGACTACTTGTATATAATGGAAGAATGAGTAGGCTGAGAGGAGGGCAAATACCAATAGCACTGTGGTCGGATGGAGTTGAGATCTTTATAAAGAGATAAATTTAAAGCACAAAAGTAGTTAATAATGAACAGTGAATGGAATGGATAGAAATCTGTCTTAGCTATGTTTCTTTTCTTTGATTTAGCTCAATATGTTTAATATTTTGTTTTATTTTTTTCTTCTTATCCATGTTCTACATAATACTGCTTATCCCCAAAACATGTATATATGCATAAATTTCAAGCACATCAACAAATATGCAAACAAGCCTAAACTTTCAAGTAGCTTTCTTACTATTGTTGCAGATACGAGCAAGACACACTTCACTTTCCTCTAAAATGTAATTTATTTTGTGTCTTAAAATGAACCATTATTTGTAGCTACTCTTCCATTATAAACACGTGGTAATTTTATATATATTCACTACTTTTTTAAATTTTAGTTCAGGGAAATAGTTTTGAATGAAGAATTCTTAGCCATGTACTCAATGATTAAGATTAATTATTAGTAAATATAAGCCCAACAGATGAACTATAGCAACTGAGGACAAAAAAAACCCAAATCTCTTTACTAAAGAGTATAGAGCCAAATTAAACAACCAACAGATGCAAAACTGAGAAATATGTAAAATTTTAAATAAAATTTTAAATATGAATTTCTTATAGCTACAGTTTGTATATGCTCTCTTATATAAGCTATAGTATTATATAACTTATTTTTGCCTAAGTAAATGAATGACAGATATGAACCAATTGTGGCTGATTTCAGAGGGTAAACTGAAAGCTCTTTTATCTTTCTTGCCCTGGACAAAATTGGGCCTTGGTCATTCATCCAAACATCTACATTCACTTAGTTAGAATGGCTAAAGGAGCTCACAAATTTATGTTCTGAAGATGTAGTTCCTCATCACCAATTTAAAGTTCTTGGGCTAATGGTCATTACCATAATTTGCAATATTAACTCTATATTATGGAAATAAATATTTATGTTGTATAAGAATGTAATAGGTGTGTGTATGTGTGTGTGTGTGAGGAAGAGGGAGAGAGAGAAATTCTGATTCATCCAACCAAATGTCAAAATCTGTTCTAAAAATACTCAGATTGGAGAGAAAATAGAATACTGAAAGCACTAAAGATCCTTCAAAATCCGTGTCTTTATGTTTTCCTGTTTTAGGGAACTTTCCAAGGTCAAGTATGTCCTAATATCAGATTTCTTCCATTAAAATTAATTTAATCTCACATTTAGAAGAGCATAACCCCAAAAATACTATTATCCCCAAAACAATATCCCTTGAATGATGAAAATGACCCTTAATATATGATATGTGTGTATCTAAAAACACTGTGTATTTTTCAGATTAGGTTCTTTGCATTTTGTGTATAATACTCATCAGAGATTGTTTATTTGAACACAGCAGACAAATTGTTATTTCTTGTAGTGTATTTCAATCCATGATTACACAATATATTTCTTTGGTTCTTACTTATTAAGACACTTTTAAATTATTTAATATACTTATGAAAAAGATACTGCTTTTTATACTGCACAAAAGGCTGGCTTTGATGCAAAGCATAAATTATTTAAAGAGCTGAAAATATTTACCCTGTTGTATATGGTATATTTATACCTCCTAGATTAATACTTTCACATCCAACTATGAAGAGTGTTGAAAAGCATAACAGAGATACGCCACTGCAAATCATTGCTAGTTTTGCAGATTCTCTTGCACCAAGTTTCAGTTTTTTTATAATGTAACCTCCTAGGACAATACCAACACCAGCACTTGGAACAATAATCACACCTGGTTAAAAAGAAAAAAGAAAAGGGGGAAAGTTAAAACATTCGTTGTGTTAAAATGTATAGTATGGAAATATTTTTTCTATAAGAGAAATATGCCAACTCTCTACATTTTTTATATTAACAATATTTATAACCCTACCTTGAAGATCAATTGAATCCCCCAAATTTCTGTTAGCAAAGAGTTATTTAGTGCTAAATAATTAGAAAATAAAAATGGATTATTTGTGGAACAACTTAAGAGGCAGCTAATAAGGTGAGCATAATTTTTTTTTAAATCATTGTGCAACAAAAATGAAGAGGTTAAAAAAGTGTAGCAATGTTAATTTAGAATAGAAATTAGGGGAAAAAATCTCAGAGATAATGAGTTGCATTGAAATAACAAATTAGAATAAGTTTAAAAGGCCAGAGAAAGTGCAATGCCATTGTTTATTACTGGAAATAAACTAACACCATTTCATATGTAATAAACCACTACTGAAAAGTGTCTCTTTAGAGCGTGACCTAATTGGCAATGTCACTCATATGATGAACAAGTATTCCTCGGCTTACAATCAATCATGTTACGATGGAAGCGAAAAAGGGGACTTAAGACCCGGATTCAAATTTTCGACGGTTGGGCCCTTCCACAGACATGTGACCGAATTTTGGGCGCTCAACACGGCCACATTTACAGCCATTGCAGCATCCCACAATCACATGTGGGTTTAAGAGTTGCTTCTGGTTTTCGACAAAACTACATCCATAGCAAACCACTGGTTCTCTTAATGACTGCCACAAAAAAGATTGTAAAATTATTATGTCTATAGATTTAGCACTGAGGAAATAAGATAGTTTTCTCCCTTAGATATGGTAGAAGATAGTATATCAACCTGGAAAAAATTGATCCTTGCCTCAATTAGAGATGGCATTAACATCAGTGAACAAGGTTTGAGAAGGTTCAATGCTACAATTTGGCCTTTCAGCCCTTCAAAGAGTCAAAGGCTGCCTCACCAGAAAATGCAGTGTCAATTTTTTCTATTTTTTATTTGTGGAAGGTTGAGTTTTTTAGAACATAAATGGGAGTGAGAAGTGTTTTCTTATCCGCTTCATATAAAAAAATTAGCAAAAAGCCTCCTTATGATTTCTCTAGAATCAGAAGAAACTCTAAACAAAGATCTTTAAAGGATAAAATACTGCTTTAGTTTTATATTAGCTGGAAAAGGAATAAGCTCCCAGTATTATGAAAATTATGAAATGAAAAAGAATAAAATGTAAATACACATAGGATTGGCTTCTAAAACCTATTTTAATTAGGCTGTATCTCTTTATGCATTTTGATACACACTAACATATATTTTCACAGAAGTGTTGCTTGTGGCCACTTAATATCTGAACACGTTGCATAGAAAATCAGAAGGCTTCAAATTAGTGTGATCATCTTAGAAAAACAGTGTTAAGGTGTTTTCCCATTTTTTTTCTCTTTAATAGCTGAATCAGCCTATATTAATTTTATTTTAAAAGCTTTTTAAATTGCGTATTATTGTTTAAGAACAAATTAAACAGCCCAATTTTATACTCCTAAGTAAAAGTAAACTATTTCCAAACTTGTTTATGCATTTTCAACCAATAAATTATAAGTTTATTTGGTTTTTTTAAAAAATGAAATACATTTGAAATAATCATACTATTATACTGAATATCAATATTATTCAGGACTACTATTCAGGAATGACAAATTTATTTAATGGCAAGTATATTGAACCAAGCTATCTCAAACCAAGAGATGACAGATTATTTATAATCATAAAACCAAAATGCCTCAAGAAAGTTTAGTTTCCAGGATACAACTCCATAATCAGATTATTTTAAAAAGATTAATATTGAAAGTTATGGGTTGTAAGAACTAATGAGCTTATTTTTGTCATTTCATTATTTCATTATTTAAATCAGAGATCCCCAATCCCTGGTCCATGGACAAGCACCGGTCCATGGCATGCCAGCATCTGGGCTATGAAAACAAGTGAAGCTCCATCCATGGGATGCAGGCAGCATGTAAAACCATAACCTCTCCAGTCCGTGGAAAAATCTTTTTCCATTTGAACCGGTCTCTGACGGTCACTGATTTAAATAACACAAGTGGTCTAAAAAATACATGTAATTAGTTATTAAAATATTACTGACAATTCTACTAAAGTTTTTTGGTAATAAACACACTAAATTTGTCTCTTTGATGATTGACTAGTAGCCTTGTCAAGATGTTATCTGCATGAATCTTTTTTAATTTACTTATGTGAATCAAATTATATGTACACATTTTAAATTTTGTGGTTTTGTAAGCTTCTTGATTGAAAATAGAACATATATGATAATAGAACATATATGAAAATAGAACATATATGATAACAGATATTGAAAATCTCCAACTAAAGGGCTACATCCTGTTTCAGTGTTTCTCAACCTTGACAATTTTAAGGCATGTGGACTTCAACTCCCAGAATTCCACAGCCAGCAATGCTGGCTGTGGAATTCTGGGAGTTAAAGTCCACATGCCTTAAAATTGTCAAGGTTGAGAAACACTGTGTTAAATAGTGTGGACAAACTTAGTTGCATCTGCACCAGATATCGGATTAGCTGTTGCTAAAATAGATTTATGACCTCAGCCGGTTTGGCAACACTTAATTTATTTATTTTGTGTACTGACATAATCATCAAGGACACCTGGCAATTACAAGAACAAAAACATCCTAAAGTATATTCAAAATATTATTTAAATACATACTAAATATTCAAAGAAAAAAAATAAAAATGCAGAGCAATAAAAATGTTATGATTGTAGAGGAATCATTCATATATGTACATTTTAGTGATAAATAAAATCCATGCAACACCTCAAAGAGAATGATTAAAAAACATAACATAGTATAAAAGCAAACAATTAAAGAATGTTAGTAATGCCAGAATCTCCCCTCCCCCCCGGAATCGATGAATCTCATCCATTAAAGCACAGATCAGTAGCTCTATCAGTTATTTGTAAATCTCATAAGAACAAATCTCAGACAATCTCATACTAGAATCATCAAATTTTGCAAAAATGATACCATTTCAATTTGTTACTGTTAATGGTGTGGGTTGATCAAGAAGCTGTTTGGTGGAAAACCAAACATCATAGTGCCACAAATCCTATGTTGCTAATCCACATGATATAAACAACAAATATAAAGTGATAAGTGTTAAGGCAGAGAATCTGCACATTTATAACAATTAAGAACAGAATCCTGATTATTTTCCATTAACTTTATTTTTTTGAATTGAGGAACATAATCCTTAAAAGATTTATTTACAGCAATATCTTACCAGTGTAGATGCTGGCATTGGAAGCTGGGATGCCAAACTGTGACTCAATGAACTTGGGAATAAAGGTAATAAAAGCAGTAACAATGGCACATTCAGCTGTGTATGACAAACTCACAAAAAGGAATGTCATGTTGCTTAAGATCCTGAAAGCTGCTCTTGGAAGTTCTATAAAAAAGACAAAAAGGAATAAAAGGACACCTAAATGTTGTCCAAAACGAATGGGAGGCAAAGAACAAACAAACTATCACTTAGTAAGTGGTTGCCCTCTCAAGCCATGAAGAAGTTCTTCCCAAAAGTTTCCACTGGACGCAAAAAAACTCTAGTGTGTTTTCCCAAAGCATTTTTTAAGATAGCATGTATTCATATGCAGAAAGTTCCAGGTTCAATTATTAACTTCTCCACTGAAAAAAAAATCAGATAGTAAATAATAGCAAATATCCACAGACTGAGGGTTGAGGTCCCCTGTCCTAATCAATTTCCAATTCAAATTTCTAAGCATACCAATATAGTACCCTACTATGTGAGATAAAAAAAAAATTAAAAATTGCCCTGAAGACTGTTCTGCTCAGAAAATTGCAATTCTTAATCTTTATTCAAGATGATACGTTTAGATATATGAAAATAGTACCCTAAAGTTTATATATCAAGAAAAATGCAAAAACTCAACCAAGACTGCATTTTCTATGAGCATTTACGTTTGCTGAGCCTTAGCATTTGCAGTTAAGATGCTGCAATGTCAAAACAAGGAAAAGGCTGATATTTAAGAGATAAAACTGCATCAATGCATCTGCAAAATGCTTATACAGTTGTATGATATTAAAACTAGGTCACTAAATAAGAAAGGAATTCTCTCACTAAAAATTAGAAATAAATCATTGTCAATATTATATTATTATTAAAGATCAAATATATCACAAATATGAATGCTGAAGCAGCCCAAAATACAAACAAAATATAACAAGCTGAGATGGAAACACATTTTTGTACATGTGCTACCTCCTTAGTCATTCTCTTACTCCAAACCTATATTTAAGCTAGAAATAATAAAATATCTATAAAGTTGATTTAGAAAAATAAGTGATCAGCTTTGGTACAATCAGAAACTAAACCACAGTTTGAAATTATTTTAACAGTTTGCAGTTCTAAACTAGGAACCATAGTTTCTTACATAATTAATAATCTGGAAAACTCAGTTTAAATAAATAATAAGTGCAAAAACAATAAACATTATTAGGACAATAAAACTGAATGCTTATAATTATAATTCCTATAATTATTTATGATATGGAGATATCATAATCTGTATTTTAAAAATATTGAAACATTCCGATTACTAAAAACAAAATTCATTCAGGAAATTCAGGAAACAAAATTCAGGAAACATTTCTCCGATCAAATCAGATGTTCAGATGTTTTTCCTAGAATTGTGCTGCAACTTTAAGAAGCTGCAGACAGCTGCTATGTGAGCACATATTCCAAAATATCTTTTTCCCCCTTAATTGCAAAGTTCTGCACAGCCTTAGCATGTAAATTACCGAGCAGCACATTGCTTGTGTTGAACAAGCTAATTAATTCAGTCAGCTAGGCTTGCTTAGTAATTTCCAGATAGAACTTGCAATTTTGTAACACTATCTGGACAAGAACCATATTTTTCAGTTTCCTCAAATCTAATTTGACTTAGTGCTTCCTATTGTTATTTAAATAACTACCATTTCCTAATTTTATGTGGAAATGGAAACCATCTGCATGTGGAAAAATTAAGAATGGTGATGAAGGTCACTTTGCAAAGATTGACTATGGCGACAGACATTTGCATATTTTTCATATTTTTCTTAAACCATGAAAAAAATGTTCCAAGGGTACTTTTCCAAAGGGCAACTGGATTTTCTTTGTTTTTCCTTGAAGATGTCTCGCTTCCCATCCAAGAAGCCCCCACAGCTCTGACATCTCTGAGCTGAGGAGGCTTCTTGGATGGGAAGCGAGACATCTTCATCTTCAAGGAAAAACAAAGAAAGTGCAGTTGCCTTTTGGAAAGTACCTTTCGGACAACCATGACCACCTTCCTTTCCTTCATTCATCACCTTCAACATACATACCTTCACCAACCTGGGATACTACTTTAGTACAAGTAATATTGGTACATGGAAACAAGAAAAAGCAATGGGAAATATCAAGAAGGGGAATTCGCTTACAGATTCATAAAGTATTTTTCTAAAACTGGGACTAATGTATGACTATGACCAATATCTAGAAACACAAAAGTTGAAACTAGTCCTTCAGGTGTATGGGTCTTCTTTGCTCTTCTTCTCCATTAAGCACAATTTACATATTTAAGTGCATGATCTCCATTTTATAATGGAGATGAAAATCTGGCCACCATGGAACGTCAACAGTTCAACAGTGGAAAGAGCCCATTTTTTATCCCTACTTAAAAAGGGGAGGCAGAAAAAAAATAGCACAATCTATCTTGCATGCCACAAGGAGGATAAAACTAGTCTTTTATCTTTGTTACCCCACAAATTAGCTGAAAAGTGGAGTATGTGTTTTATGACTTTGCCTCTCTATCATGAACACAGATATTTCTATAAATATACTTTGGAAGAGAGGGGTCAAAATTCGAAGCAAAAAAAAAAACCCATTAAATTTTAATAGTTCCCACAAAGGCAATATAGCTCTTGACCTGGAAAAAGTTTCCTATTGTTGATTGAGGAGACTGTTTTCAACCTTTTCTTTTAGCCCAGCATCCTTAGCCAAAGTCTATTTTTCATAATGCTGATAACAGCAGAAATTAGTAGATAGGATTTACATAGCTTTATCAAGCTACTCAAGCTTGATAAAGGCTGTTTATGGATTACAGCTTGGGGGGGAGAGCTCAATATTAATTTTTTGAGTGAAGCAATTTACCCTGCAACTAATGTAGAACCAATTGAACCAAAGTCCTCTACTTTAGTACTGCTCCTAACTAAATAAATATATTTTTCTATCAGTTTTCAACAACAAATAACAATTCTATGAATTTAAGTTTCATCCTAATTTGATTTTTTCAAACAGGAAATTCTTTACCTTTAACATTCCTTCCAAAGCCCATTGATGTAGGAATTTCCGAGTCTAGCTCTTTTTTGCTATTCACTTTTTCTTTCACAATATCATCATCACCTGAAACATCATCAGAGTGCATCTTTTTTTTCTTTTTCTTGTGTCGAGGTGGGAGCTTTTTGGGAAAAGCAAACATTGGAAGTATAACAAGAAGCATCACACTAGCACAAAGGAGGAATCCACTCCACCTAAAATCAGAAGGTAAGAAATAACATTTACCAATAGGGTTATATTTATTACATCAAGCAGTACAATAATAGATATCATTGCCTATAAGCATACATAATTACACACACACAAAAACCCTCTACAGCAGGAAGCAGAAATTTACACTTGGTATTACTGTATTACACATGGTAAAACAATTACCATGTAAGTGACTTGAAAAGAAATCACAAAAGCTGCATCCAGAACAGATAAAAAATATATAGGTAATTCTTGCTTAATGACCAGTTGCATTGCAACCATTCAAAGTTACAACGGACTGCTATAGAGCTAGTTATGAACCATTTTCAAAGTTCTGATGCCCACCATTCCTTGATTATGCATTATCCTTTCCATACAAATATACAATTGCAAACTACATATTTACCATAACACAGGTTGCCTGTAATTTCCTCAAGGTGCCATTATATAATATACTCACATCAACCATCATAGCCAGCCAATATTATAACAATTGTAATCTAATGTGTCTAGAGGACATCAGTTATAACTATTCCAAGACTAAATTTATAAATTCTAGTGGCATGGCCCTTGCAGTCTTCTACAGCCACTGATGGTACTTTCTCCATGATTCTAATTAATAATTAATAATTTAGCTGCTATATCTATTCTATGGGTCACAAGATGCTTCTAATTTACTGAAGCTTTTCCTTTAATTTATGCAGTTGATCCCAGCACCTCACCAGCTAATTATTCTGAATGAAAAGACTAGTATAATTCTCATACTCTAGATTCTGGCATGAACATACACAAGTAGATAGAAATGGAATTTTCCCATATTTCTAGATCACTAATTGCTGTCAAATTCACTACATATGATCTTAGTATACCATATAAAGAATTTCCTTAATGGGAATTTGCTACAAAAAGTAAGCTATAGGCTTCATAGTTACTCAGTTACTCTGAATGCCTAATCATAGAAGAAAAGAACCCTGTAATTGCTATCTGGCAGGTATTTGGCATGAATGTTTAGAAAATCTGAGGCCATACTTCTTCAAATTAAGTTCTCGACTATTATCGTCATGATTAAATTGGCATCTCACTTCCCTGTATTACTACTGCTTTGTTGTAGCTGCAGCTGTTGTTTAATCACTTTTCTCCTAAAGTAACATTTTTCAATGTGACCAATTCAAAGAGTGGCCTAGCTGTACATGAACCTATGCACTTTTTAACCCAAAGTAGATTTTGATATTTTAGTGAGGGGAACAACAACTACACAAATCTACAAGAAACGGCAATTACTATTTCTGGGTCAAACTACAGACAAAACTTTGCTGCTCACTTCATTGAATCAAAAAACAGGATGACCACATATACCATATGCATTTCTTAAAACTATCCATTTAAAACAAATCCATTCATTTTTGGACAATAGAAAAGATAGAAGGAATTCAAAGAAACTGAGGCTGCAGTCAGAGGCTTAATGGATGATTCAAAGTTTGTTCTAATTGCTGTAGCATAAAGAAGAGGAAAGAAATTAGTTTCTGGCTACATTTTCAGCATTTATCTGACAGTTGTTTGTACCCAGCATCTGATGTTTAAATGTGCAGCTTTTCTACAGCTGATAAATGCATTAAATTATCATGGCTAATGGATGTTGATAGACTGATTTCCCGAAATAGAATGAAAAGTAAATAGTTGTGAAGTTAAGCAGGCATCTGAACAATCGATACATCTGTTTTTGGCTACAGCTATTCAAAACATAGCATACAGGATCAAAGAATACATGAACAGATGTTAAATATTACTGATCAAATATTTAATATTATTGTTACTTGCACATAAAACCCCCATATGGTTGCAGCTTACCAGTTACCAATGAACCGTGGGTCACTTTGGTCAATCTGAACAGTACTTGTAGGATGTACATAAAACCCAATAAGAACACCTCCTAATAAATATCCTGCTGCAGGACCAAGAGCTCCCATTACATACATGATAGCTGTAAAAGAGGAAAGAAAATCCAAAACACATCAAACAATATCATATTACAGAACATAAGATTAAGCAATATGCTATAGTAATTTAACCATTTTCAAAAGTAAAAGAACAGGAGACTAAGCACTTTCCTAGACTTTTTGTTCTTTTTTTCTGCAATTTCTAGAATTACTTCAGGATAATGAGCCGAGGTGGCGCAGCAGTTAGAGTGCAGTACTGCAGGCCACTTTAGCTGACTGTGTTCAGCAGGTCAGCAGTTCAAATCCACCGGCTCAAGGTTGACTCAGCCTTCCATCCTTCCAGGGTAGGTAAAATGAGGACCCAGATTGTTGGGGGCAATGTAAATATATATATATATATATACATTGCTTACTGATGTACACCGCTTAGAGCGTGCTTGCACTTAAAGCGGTATATAAGTCTCATAAATAAATAAATAAATAAATAAATATTCTCTGCGCATAAGAGTAAAAAGTTTTGGAAAAACATGTCCCAGCCTAAGACATGTTAATAAAGACCAGAGTTTATAGTAAATCTTCTCTCTTCCTTAAATACAGCTCAACTAAATGAAAAGAACAACAATTAAGCATGAGAGAATAAAAACTGTGCAGTGGAACATTTAAGATTCAAAAACAAGAAGCTACTTTGGAGGTAAGGAGGTTGCTTAAATCAGCATGTTATATAATCTGGGATCCTGCTGCAGTTGTGGAGGGCAGATGCCTAACTTGGCAAATAATACAGCTGCTTTAAGGAGTTGTAGACACACGCCATATGACTGTTCCCAAAAAGGCAAAAAGAAAAAAAAATATTTATTCATATTATAGAAGGGGAAAAAAATAGAGTGAAAGGTTTCTGTAAGGGAAGGAATTCAGTCTTAGAATATCAGGAGCGAAAAGAGCATTTATTGTGTAGGGAGAAACAGTATTTGCTACAATATATTTAGCTTTTGGTAACCATGCCATCAAGGAAGATGGTCCACAACATAAACTCATATCGATCAATACTGATATAACCTTTTTATTATTATAATCAGGCATTGGCCACTGCTAGTTGAAAGTTAAAAGTCCACCTTAATGCTATTAGTTGATTAATATCCTTTTTGGATATTATCTTAAATCTTATGATGTTCTAAATTCGGATCTTATAAATTAATAATATCTCCTACTGGGTTCCAGGAAGGCTTTTTTTAGTACTTGAAGGTTTAGATTAATATAAATGAAACGTGCTTCCAAAGAATTACACAACTTTAAAGCAATAAATAAAAGAATTTTAAAAAATTGGACAAAACTCACCAAGACCTTATGTTTAGGCAATTTTTAGCTGTCACTGGAATGGATAAATAAGGACAGAAATATTTTTTCCCCATTGGCTACAACCAAAGAAATAGCCCCCAGCTGGCTATTGTCACTAGACTATTTGCCAGCTTCCAGGTAAACTCTTCTTTTAGAACAGAAGAGCAAGATAAGTTGAACTATAGAGGGAAATGCATTTGAACATCCTTGCACTGCAACTCTATAGAGAATTTTTTTTTTTAATTTGCAGCGCTCACATCATCTTTGGCTAGCAGCTCACAAAGGTTTCATTGTGAAATCATGTTCTTCACAAGGGTTACAGGACATCTTGGTACCAGAAAAAGAGGTTCTGTAGATGAGGCATCTAAATTACTGAAAGGCTGAAGTCTAGATCTTGCTCCCAATTACAGCTGCTCTAAGCAAAAGACCATTTACTTTAGCCAACTATGTTTACCGACATTCTGCATACTTCACATAGTACAGTAGGACATTCTTGCTGCATAGATTTGATATTGTGATATCTAAGCTCCTGGAAGACAGCTTTATTCAGAAAATTCAATCAGATCAGTTTCTCATGTTTTGTTGTTCTACCCATGTATTTAGTCAGGACTCTTCTAATAATGTTCCTGATGGCTAAAAAAAAAAAAAAGCTTCTGGTAAGAAACTACCCTTCTGAAACAAATAGGAACCTTGCCAAATTTTGTACACATCAATTGCTATACTGAGGATTCATCTTATCATTAGATTTATATGAGAGTCATTCTGACTAGTGTTTAGAGCACTGGAGTAGGAGTTGGCAAGCCTGAGTTTTAATCTTGCCTTAGACACAGAGGCTAACTGAGTAACCTTGAGGCAATCACTCTCTTTTAGCCATCATTACAATAAATATGACAAATATGATAAAGTCTGAGTATATGTGTGCAACAGAGTTAACACACATCTTTTTTTCTAGACATATCCCATATTTCACTCCTTAAATTTCCAGCTGAAGACAGTTTGAAAATACTTTAAAATGTCTTGTGTTCAAGGGTAAAATAAGAACAAGGAACACTTTGCTAAAAGCAGCTACAGCTGCGGTGCTTTCATGTCATGTCTGTCTACACAGTAGAAGATGTGCTGAAAGAAGCCAGAGCAATCAGCCCAGCAACAGTGTTGCCATCCAATGGATAAACCCCTTATATGTTGTTTAAGGGTTTATCCATGAGTAGCCACCCCACCTCCGTCTCTCCTACGCATTTTCCTCACTTGCTGCCTCTATAAGCTTAGGCAAGTGAGCAAGAAATGGTAATGATAGAGGCAAAATGAGCAAAATGGGTAGATGTTAAACAAGAGATAATTTTGAGATACCTCACAGATGGAGTGCTGAGGCCATATAAACACACAAAGACATAACAATGAGCTGGGCAACCATATTAATTATAAACAAACAAAACAAACAAACAATCTTCCCTTCCTCTAGTCAACACCAACTGAAATTGGTTCTTGAGACAGAAGAACCACTATAGCATAGCGCTCACAACTCCCAAACCTTGAAACCGATCCAGAAGCACTAAAATGGATGCATCACCACAGAATTAAAATCAAATTAAAAAATTGAAAATTACAAAAGTTAAAAAAAGATGAGGTTATGCCATTAAGCGACCACCTCATCCCCCCCCAAAGTTGCGTAACACTGTTTAATCCCCATGCCAATTGACACCTTTCTAAAAAGCCGAAAGTATGGGGGCGCCCCTCACCTCTGGGGAAAAGATGTTCTTTAGAGTGTGAGCAGCAGTACAAAAGGCTTTCTTCCTAGACCAGGGATAGACAACCCAAAACACTCAAAGAGCCACTTGGACCCGTTTCCCACCAAAAACAAAACACTGGGAGGCGCAAAACCCCCGAGCGACCCCCGAGCTCCTCTGTTGCTCTCTGCCCCCTTAGTGCTGGATGGATCTGACCTGGAGAAGCTTGCAAGTCTTCTCCATTGGAAGCAAGGAGGGAGGGCAGGCTGAGGGAAACGGCCCTGTTCTATCTACACAAAACCAGCAATTGTAAATACTTTTCAAAAATGTAAAAAGAAAAAAAGAAAAATTACAAAAGAGCAAACACCAAGAAGATGTATACTCCCATACACACACACACACACACACACACACACACACACACACACACACTCAAAAATCTGAAATGTTTTGAAGACCAGAGAGTCAAAGCAGGAGAGAAGCTAATTGTGTCAGATATGCACTGAGAAATCTATTTGCAGATTGACAAAAAAGTAACAAGAACCTATTTATTGTATATAATGTTTTATTATAAACCATGAATTGTATATTATTGCATCTGTACATCTGCTGTGGTTATGTGATGTGCAATTTTAGCATGGGTTTCATTGAGGTTTTCAGTTGCTTTTCTATTGTTTGGGGGTTTAAAAAAAATGTTTTGGGTTTGTTTGGGTTTTTTTTTTTTGGCAGGACACACCCAAAGACCCAAGTTTGTATTAAAAAAAAAACTAGGGAAAAAATAGACAAGCTAATACACCCTTTCCCTGAAGAAGGGGAGAAGGAGGGGGGAAAGGGAGAGAAGTTTTCTGAGTTCTCATTGGCCACTTGTAAGCCCAAATGAGTACAGTATTCCCTCCTCCGCGGGCGCCTCTTTATGCCAGTGCTGAGCTCAAGGTGTGTGCATGCGCGTGTATGCATGCGTGCGACTCCCCGCCACACCCCCGCCCACCTTGTGTCCTGCTCTCTATTCCCTCCTTTTCCTGTTTTGGAAACTTCCGTGCAGCTTTGTGGATCGTGCAGAAAAGGAAAAAAAAGGGGAAAAAAGCACCCCATCCTGTGTTGTCCATTTATGCAAATATACCAGCCTTGGTAGTTGCTTGGAGATGAACACACTCAAATCCTTCGGATTGGCACCATCTAAGCCGCTGCTGCTTGCTTGATTCCTCTCCCTGGCCCCAAACAAATCATCTTTGTCCAGCCCCCGAGTCCCCCCCCCACCACTCTTTTATGTCTTTTACTGCTCCCTCTCCCACATCCCAATTGGTCTTTTTGTGTATTTAGGAAGGAATTTTTAATAGACACTTTTTATATTAAAAGAAACCGATATATTGAGTGACGAGGCTGCCTCGTGTGCTTCTGTTAGTTGTTTGGTTGGACACTGCTTGGGGGACCTTGGGTGGGGCAAAGGGGGAAGACAGCTTCGCGGTGAAGGCTTGGCAGGGGCGATGCTGGCAGGACTGGACAGGCGAGGCGGCTGCGGAACTCGCTCTTGGCTGCGCCCCGCAACAGCTCCAGGGGAATCGAGACCAGCTTCCTGGTACTGGCATCCAGGAAGCCGACGTGGCTGAGTTCGCACCGCGACAGAAAACTAACCAAGCACTGCAAGTGTGAACGCAGCCACAGCGGCAGCCTTCGTATGTGTGGCGGCCGAACGTGGGGCTGAGATTTGGGCTGCTTGCAAGGCAGCGCCCCTGAAAAGCAGAGCCTCTCTTTCCCCCCGTCAACACTCCTGCTCCAAAGCCTCCGACCCCTCCATTCTAGCAAAGCGCTGCCTGCTTTCCTTTTTTCTCCTCCTTTTCCTCGGTCCCAACTCAGTTCAGTGGCGGGATGGATTTCTCTTGGCCCACATTTCAAAGGGGTTTGGTGATTAGACGCACAACAACGGCACCCACAATAATTGGGCCACGAGGCACAACTTCCCTCAGGAGGCAGAAAGAATTCAGGCAAGC